GAGAACGTCTCCTTGTTGCCACTTGTGGAGTACTCGGATCTCATCTGTGATCTTCGCTAAGTGTTCTAGATACTTGTCTGGGATTGGCGTGCCATCACCGTAGAGCTGTTTGGTGACTTCCTTTCTGGCCCCTTGTCCGCCTTGAGAGTTCTTCCAGTAGGCGGCTAATCCGGTGAAGAGCGTCGGAAGTCCCGTGCCTGGCTGAGTACGAATCGCGGGTAGCCTATGCGTCAGGATCACGCCGTCGTCTATCCATTCCCACGTCGTATGCTTGCCTCTTCCATACCTAGCAATCTGTGCCTCGATCTTCTCGCGCTTTATGGTCACACTGTCACCGTCCAAGAAGTCTTTTCCGAAAGCTTGTTTTAAGGTTGAGCCTCCTGTATATTGCTTGTCGAACTTGTAGGTCACCCTGCTTAGAATTCCCTTCTCCGTCAGTGCCTGGATGAACTCCGGGATTTCATTCTTGGCTCGTTGGAAGAGCTCCAGTGATGAAGAAACAGGGGTCTCGCCTCCTTTTGCGGGCGCCTTGTGGTTATAGAAGAAAACGTATTCGGGCGCATGCGGGACTTGGGGTGACTCATTGTGGTTGTAGATGAGAACTTCTTTTGGGCTTTCGTTCGCAGGTGCCACGTTTGGTGCCAACAATGGTCTGTCGACTACAATGCCGATGATTTCGTGTGGTTTGTACCCGAAAGCGTGTGCGAACTTGCTGAAATCCTCGGCGCCATGGATTGGCAAACCTCTGAATAAAAGCACCCCATGAATGGCAAGTTTCTTGGTGAGTTCGCCCTGTCTCTGAAGAGATTCTACAGCATGGACGACCTCATGCAACTGAACATCTTCGTGCTGACCGGAAGGCCTCAATGCCAGGGGTGTCACAGTGCCGGTGGGATGGGGCTCGCCCAGAAGTCGTTGATTTGTCTTGGGTAGATCGTGAAATTGTTCAAATACGATGGGGGGATTGAGTTGATTGATTGTTTTATGGCCTTCGGTAATATTCGATATGATTGAAGCCGTCATTGTAACTGCGTGCCTTGCGGTAATTGTAGCAGGAAGTATTTGCTTCGATGCCGATGATCGCAATCCGGGACAACGTGCTGATACTGGATATAGGCTGGGTTCGATGGCAGCGTCCGCGACGTAATAATGGCTGGACGGGAACTTATATACTTATCCGAGGAAGCTCTAGCATGTGCTTTGATGCGTTCGAAGCTAAAATCACGTTATCATGGGCTTCATGCCAATTGGCGAGAGTCGCATCGATATCTCTGCCCCGGTTATCAATACCCGCGTCCTCCGACAGGATTGGTTCATTGCAGTTGACGTTGAATGCAGTTAGGTCCAAACACATGCTGAACTTCTCTCCTCCTTATGGACTCAGGGCTCATACAAGCTTGAAACGATATCGCGATATTCCGAATATCGTATTTTAAGCAAGAGAGAACGCAAATGTTTTTGTTTGGTGGAGACATGCAATTCTTTTGCTAGCTCCAGGTTGCTAGCATTTAGGCAACTCACCGACGGCGAAAGGGCTACACGCCGGCTCTTTCATATATGATCTACGACGAACAAGTATTCCCAACGAGTAAAGATCCGTATTGACTGTTTCCGAGCGTCCCCGATGCGGGGTCTAGGTTACAATTCGTAACGCTCAAGAGATTGGTTCAGGACTGTCGATCGGTGCGACGTTGGGACGAAACTTGAGCACGTAATTCGTGACCCTGCAAGCGAATCTCATGCAGTGGAATTTTACAAAGGCAGATTTGAGGTCTATCTCAAGTCCCTAAGTGAAGTAAGTAGTTGCCTGAGGAGGTTCTGATTTTCCAAAAGCCCATAAAGGTTAGCCCTCCACCAACTGCAACCATCAAGGTCTTCGAAGAGGGGGTCTTGTCTCGCTGTCGTCAAATCTTTTCAATTCATCATCAAGCATATTCGAGTCCAAATTCGACCATCGTACCAGTGAGCAACTTAGCCAGTCATGTCTGTCGAGGTCGCCAGCCTCCGCCAGCCAGAAATCGAGCCCGGCACCCAGCCGCTGTCTCCGCCGCAACCCATACCGCTTCGCAGGAGTACTCTCTTTCAGATACTCATCGTCGGTCTCTGTGCTTTCTGTGCACCGGGAATATGGAGTGCTATGAATGGACTCGGCGTCGGCGGTTCACAAAGTCCAGATCTGGTTAACGCAGCGAATGCTCTCCTTTACGCCTTTATGACGTTGACCTGCTTCGCTGGCCCGTTCCTGACCAACCTGATTGGATTCCGCTGGACTTTGGCAGTTGGTGCTCTTGGGTATCCCCTCTATGCAGCCGGCCTTTACGTCAACAATCGGACAGGTGGAACGTGGCTCGTCTACTTCGGCTCGGTTGCCTGCGGCATAAGTGCTGGATTCTTCTACAGCGTCGAAGGAGCGATTGCTACGGGATATCCTGAAAACCACAAGCGAGGCCGTTACGTCGCGACGTGGTTTACCTTCCGCAACTTTGGCATGATTATTGGTGGCGCCATCTCGCTGGCGCTCAACCACAAGGTTAATCAGAAGGGCAAGGTTGGATACGAGCTATACCTTGCCTTCATCGGCATACAATGTCTCGGTTTCTTCCTGGGTCTCTTCCTATCCAACCCCGACAAGGTCATGCGCGATGACGGAAGTCGTATCGAAGCGCCGAGAGGGATCCATTGGCGCGTAGAGCTCGTGGAGATGTGGAAGCTACTCAGAAGCCGTTCAATTCTTCTATTGACACCTCTCTTTTGGTACTTTGGCTGGATCCAAGCATACCCCGGCACCTACATTGCAACATACTTCAGCGTGCGCTCGAGAGCGCTAGGTGGTTTCGTTGCAGCTATCGTAAGCACTTTCTCAACATGGCTCGGAGGATCACTTGTGGATCTCCCGTGGTCCAAGAATCGCCAGACACGAGCTCTAGCAACTTATTCGCTGATAGTCTGTCTCAACACTGCAACCTGGATTTGGGCTGTCATCATCCAAAACGAGTATCGTTTCACGCTCCCTGTCCTAGATTGGGCTCTTCAAAGCGAGTTCGGACGCGGATTTGGGCTCTATATGCTGGAAAGAGCGTCTCTTGGCATGATTGAGAACTTCATCTACTGGGCAATCGGAAATCTGTCGGACTCGCCCGGCGATCAGATTCGGTATAGCTCTTTGCTTCGTGGCATCGAGACGGCAGCGGTAGCAGTGGGTTTCGGGATCCAAGCCGTTCCAACCCCCCTTATTGCTACAGCCAGCATCAACTGCGGTCTTTGGTTCATCGCTCTACCATTCAGTTACTTTGCCACTCTGCAAGTTGTGAGAAAATTTGAAGAGCAGGACCGGATGCAAGACCGGATGCACGAGGTGGCGGAAATTGTGGGACGCAAAGTCTAGGCCATGATCCACAGGTCTCAGTTGCCTGTCAACTTCTTGGAACATGCTGTAAAAGCATGGAGATTAATGATCAGACGGAAAAGGACAAGATGGCGATGGTCTGCAGATATCGCAGTGCTTTCCGCTTTAGCTCTCTCTATGTTACATGACCTGGTTCATTTGCGCGATGCCTAGAAAATCTTTGCGCTGCAAATTTGGGTCTTGATCAATGATTCGGTAGCATTGGGAATATGATTGTTGCATTCAGGTTCTAGGTTGCTGCAGGCCTCTACCCGCCTCGTCCGTAACCCATGTAAAGCACCGTTAACTAGGAATGAATGCTCAACCCATGCATAGCAGTGTGACACATCATGCGGGAACAACTAGTGTGGATCGTCAAATTTCAATGTCGAACATGCAGGACTTCTTTCAACGGATATGATTGATGAATCATGATGGGTAATTGCCAACACTTTTTGAAGTCTTTGCTTGGTTTGCACATGTATGATGCCTTAGGCACTTTCTTCATGGAAGGGATTCAAGGGAAACCCAGATTCAGAGCTGATCGCAACAGTTCGCAGTCTTGTGCAACGTGCCAGTGGTCTACAGCAGCAGCAGCAGCAGCAAGTCCCAAAGCGCAAGTTTGATTACAATGATTCTTGAAAGATGCTCAATATTCCTAGTAAGTTCTTCAAAGCAACTGGCAAGCCTTATGCAGCATACCCGTTGCACAAATGGTTAGTTACCCTAGCCGCATATACCTACCCTCCTGCTCTACTATACCTTTCCTTCGCCTGCAGAAAGGCTCTCTGGATTCATAAAACAAGGTACGAGGCAGTAGACAGCGCTGATCATCTGCAGGCATGCCTGTACTTGCAGCGTCACAATGGTGATTTATTCCTAGTTGAACGCTGGGCTGAAAATCACCTCTTCCCCTGATTCGCTCTAAGTCGAGCTGAGAGCGGGGAATGTTGCATTTGACAGGCGGGAGCGGCTGTAGGCGAATTTAATTATCATCCCGGACCAGACCAACGCCTTCACTCCACCCGGATTCAGACGAACTGCATCCCCGAACAGCATCATGAAGCTGGACGTTCCTTTTTTCGGGCATTTTGGAAGACCCCATATGACTTCTCATATTTTTACCGGCACGGGAACAGCCACTCCCGCCTTGTGTAGCTCGTGTTAGGTGGATTTACTTGCACCACAGTTTCTCGGACTAAAGTGGACAGCCAAGCCAATATTGCCAAGCATACACAGGTTGTTGGCGATGAGCTCTTCTTACCGAATTGCCGAAAACTTCACGAACCTCATCGTGTGCCTTTGGTCCGACGATTACTGTGAAACGGTCAGGTCAATGGTGAAGTGAAGTTATGCCGCAGGACTTTGCACTAATAGGGAAGACGAAGGCGGAAATGCAAGAGGACTATTCATCAAGTTGATCTGTTTAGTCGTATGAGCAGTGACAACGACACTTGCGCTCAGATATATAAAGTCTGCAGTTGCCAGGCTTCTGAGTTAACATCTAGTCATCATAATCAACCATCTCTTCTATCTCCTACTCAAAGCAGCCTGCAGCTCCCAGCTCTTCTTCGGTCACTCAAGACTCTCACTCAAACATCGTATCGCTTTCAAGATGCAGTTCACTACCGTTCTCGTTTCGATCTTGGCCACTGCCGTCATCGCCATTCCCACCGGGAACACTGGCGGCGGCTCTGCTCCCTATGTTGCTTGCCCTTCTGGTCTCTACAGCAACCTTCAGTGCTGTGCCACGGATGTTCTGGGAGTTGCTAATCTTGACTGCGCTTCTCGTAAGTCAGAACAAAATCAGAGGAACGTGAAGTGAATGATGCTGATAGCTTTGCCAACAGCCACCACGGTGCCGACTTCGGCCAGCGACTTCAGAAGCATCTGTGCCAAGGGTGGTCAACGTGCCCGCTGCTGTGCTATTCCCGTCGTGAGTAGTTCAAATCGAAGACAAACGTCTGTTTCTCGTCTTCTAACAATTATTACCACAGCTCAAGCAGGCTGTCCTCTGCGAGACTCCTGTTGGTGTTTAGAGGTAGAGACGAGGAGGACTATCAAAGCACGATGATTTGTCGACACATCTCGAGAACGTCTACACCTCTTCTTCCTCTGCAATACATGTAGTTAGTCGGCGTGTTGTACCGGGATCGACGGAGGGGAACTCTCGGCTCTGAGGCTGCGAGCTCCACAGCTTTATGCTAGCTTTTATACAGCAATTTCAGTCATTACCGTTTAGCCGCTCAAAAGGCTTACTTGAAGTTATCATTCTAACCGTTGTGACGTTATGTATGGCTTCTTTTGTTGCTGTCCTCTGCAATGTACTTACCTACTCAAAGCGAGTCACCACGGGGTTCAGGCACAGAACGGTAAACAAGAACGCAAACAGGATACTGAAGTAATTGGGTGACGGTACTAACATGGTCAAAATCAAATACACTTCCCTGCCGCACTACTTCCAGCTACGCACGGGTTGCAATCTAGATGGTCTAGAATTCCTCGTCTTGCCAACTTGCCATCAAGTTGTCGCTAAGGTGGAAGAGTTACAGAGGGAAAAAAGAAACATGTTGTTGTGCCCATTTGCCCCGCAACTCGTGACATTTCTAGCTAGAGAGAATATCACACAGAATAGCGGCTGTTTTGCTGCATCTACATTAGGACGATATGGGTTGACCTTGGTTGTGTTGCCAAGAGTCATCTGATTGTTGCTTGTAGAAACGTTGGAGTCTGATTTCTCCTTTCTCAGCACATTTTCTGCCCTGCGGAGAAACCTGCCTGTCCCCTGAAGCACGCTTTCGACAGCACGCTGGCCCCTGTGCTATGGCGTGCTAGTCCCAACTTTGCTCACTACTGAAATTCAAAGTGATCCGACGCTCGGCTAAGATGGCACCGGCTGAACTATAAGTGAACATCGGACATGATTGATTGGCGCAAGAGCCTGATCCTGACAGAGCCGTTGCACTCTGAATCTCAATAGAGCTTAGATTGACCAAATGTCAACAATGAAATGGGGTAGCCCTGATTCAAGCACCGCCGTAAATAGAGAAGCAACGTCATCTGGAATCTCAAGGCGAACATGGGGGAATCTCCTCTTCAAAGAAAATATCTTTCAAATACGGATCGGCCCAGTTACACACCTGTGTGCGTCTGCAACTATCAACGTCTTTTGCGAAAGACGTTGCGACTAATGTGCTTGGTTTGTCGCCAATCCTCATTCTTGTCGAAGTTGCACGTGTCGTTGGCCGGACTTACCGAGATGAATGATGGACTCATTTCCAGTGTCGAGTGCCATACCCCAGGGCTTGGGTGTAGAGAGCCTTCTGCCGGAATGCGCGGTAAGTTCCCTGATCGTCCTGCCAAAGTCGTGAGTCTTCATGCGACTGCTAATGCTATGCTGGTTTCCAGAGTCAATGCGTCTCGACAATAATCGCATCAGCGACGAGTGCACAAGCCGCCGTCAAATTTCTTTGCGCAGAGCAACAACTGTACGGAATAATCGGTTGCAGCTATCAAAACTGCTCTGTCATCGATGGACTAAGTATGTGTCTCTCTGCCTTCGACGCCTTTAACAGGATTCATGTTGATAAATGTAGAGAGCCAAAGAATCATATTCGACATTTGTGGGCTTCCCAATCGAGATAGAGGTACCTCAGCTACTGCGAGTGCCGTAGCAGGGGCTATTGTGGCTGTATTTAGTGTTGGTGTTCGCATGTACTCCCAACTCTCACGGTTAGATTACATGATCGGACTGGATGACTATGCCCTGATTTTCTCAATGGTATGTTTCTCTATCACGAAAAAATGCTGACTTGATCTGTACCTTGACTAAAGTAAAATTGGTCTAGTTGATGTCAGTACCTATGAGCGTGGTTGTTGTGCTCAGTAAGCCGTCCTTAGCCATACACGGAGGAAAGAATCCTGAAATGGGATCTAACCCGTGTTGCAGCGGTTCAAAATGGCCTCGGAAAAGACATCTGGACACTTACACCGGAGCAAATCAACGAGTTCTTCAAAGTAAGTGCAATGGCAGACAACGAGGTTTGCAAAAAGAGAAGAATCCAAGCTTACCCGACTCGCCAAGCTGTTCTACATCGGAGAGCACTTTTATGCATTCACCGTCATGTTTGCGAAGACGAATTTCCTGTTCTTCTACTTGCGCCTGTTTTCCGATGAAAAGTTTAGGCGCTTGACTTGGGGTGTCATCTGGGCATGCGTCATATCAGCCGTTTCGTTCCTAGTTGCGACTTCAGTTCAGTGCTGGCCCATCAGCTACACCTGGACTAAATGGGATGGAGAACACCAAGGCCGTTGCCACGATATTAATATCCAGACTTGGGCCCATGCATCGGTCAATATTGCCCTTGATGTTATTGTAGTAGCGATGCCCATTTCTCAAATCGTCAGGCTCAACTGGCGATGGAGACAAAAGGTTGGGGCCGGTATGATGTTCGCTGTAGCATTGTTGTGAGTTGTGCCCTGCGGAACCCGGAAATGTGGGATTGATAAGAGCTAATATCCGTTGTAGGATCACATTTGTCTCCATTCTGAGACTCAGCTCTATCAGAGATTTCATGAAGACTTCGAATCCGACATGTGAGTTGGCTGTTTTATTGCAAACGCGAGTACTGACGCTTACCAGGGGACATTGTGCCAATCTCTAACTGGTCATTCGTCGAGTTAAACGGCTTCATCTTCTGCTCTTGCATGCCTGCCTTTAGAGACTATTTCCGTCGTCTATTCTTACGACGGAGGCGAACAGTTCAAAATGTAAACTCCATATTTGGTGCCAGGCCGAGAATGAGGACTCTTGGGGATAGTGTCTTGCGACCGAGCGATCGGTTGCACGAACTGATTTCTGTTGACAACGACAACGATGAGCCTGATCACTCTCTTCGGGATATTAGCCTCGTGGATCTGGGAATCGGACACCTTTCAACCGGTGTGTTGCCCGCCGTCAAGGATGAACGCGAAACCAAACCACTAGCTGCAAATCACTCAAGTCGGGATGGTGATACTAGGCAACCGGACGAGCAGCCCGAAGAAGTGGATCTTGGTGACTTGAAGCATTTGGCACCGTGGGTCTCTAAAGGAACACGTAAACAAAATGGCGGATGCTCAGATGCTCAATTCCCGAGGAGGAGTGAGAGTCCCCGATGAAGTATTCAGGACCATCAAGGCTGGGATAATTGGAGAAATAGGAAACCAAAGGCGGATCAGTGTTATGGAGGAGTTGTAGACTGTAGTCATATCGTTTTGCTGAGTTCGTAACACTCTCTAAGTGAAGGTGTTCCGGGAATGGGCAAAAAGCAGAATAATCAAGGTACCTGTAAGAATCCAGCGGATAAGTATCATGTGTTGAATTGGAACAATCGTTCCTCTAGGAAGTTGGAGGTCTCGTCAGTATGACTTCCGGCAGCACTGACACGACGAATGGTGATGAGAATAAGTTTAGAAGCTCGACTTCATGATGAGAAAGACGAAGACGATCTTGAGAGGAGATGACTTAGTGTAGAAGAGTTGGGGATCGTATCTCAGGGTTGGGGAGCCAGGTCATCGCTAGCCGGTACTCAAGCCTGTATGAGAAAATACCGAAAGTCGGCGAAAGGTCCTCAAGTAGGATCTTCGTTCGGGAATCGTGACTACATCCAACCTCAACTGAGGGAAAGGTCCCGTTTTAGAAACATTGAAGGTACTCGATGTGTCCGTATCCCGCTATTTAGGTGCAATGAAACGACAAGGATTTGGCCAATGCCACCCCAATGGATGACGAATTCTTTCGGAAACAAATCAATTGTAGCTTTCCACTAGAGTCATCTAATAGCGAAGGAGGAAAGGCCAGTGATACGTGGGTATCGATCGGCTCGTGAAGGACTTTATTGGATTCGTCTTCTCCAGTTGACGTATCCGAGCCAGCTGATAGCAAATCATGAGGAGCCCTTCGACTGCAAGTGACTAGTTGGACATCGAGGGGTGAGAACAAGCTACCTCTCGTCCCTAAGTACCTGTACTTAGGAGTCAAAAGTCGAGGTCTTCAAGGTTAGTTGTTGTAGGGCTTTCATCCAAACCTTCCCGGCGCTTGTGTAACTATCCATGTGGGCGGGACATCGAGTTTGGAAATACGCGGCGCGATGCATGACTGCCGACTTGCCTAGCCTGGAATTAACTTGCCTATCTAAAGTCAAATAGGCAAGTCGCGCGATCTAATGCGGCTGACAAGTTTCCTTTCCTGACCAGACAAAACGGCTGAACGTGGGGTATTCTCCAAATAGGCAACTTCCAATCCGAGACGTCTTGGATAGGAAAGTTGGGTCCGATTAACTCGATCTTGGCATGCGGGGAGTGCGTGAGACTAGAGATGGTCAACGTTGCCGTCTGCTGTGGCCCTTGATCTGGACCCATCAGAAGACGCCAATTTTGTCTGACAGGGACCCCTTGGGTGACGAGATAGGCAACTTTTCGTCCTCTTACTTTTGTTCGCCTGCACTAGAGGCGCCTGAAGAGCATGAGAATGACTGTTGTGATGTCTCCAATGCTGGCACTCCGCGGGATACATATCCCGTTGCGTTCGTGTTTGATCTTGAAGTCAGCTGATTACACCGGACAGAATGACTATTTCAAAGCTCGCTATCACAAGTGGGATGCCGTGCTGATGTGCTAGCTAGCGTCGGAATCGAGTTATCAAACTCCTTACACCAGACATCTGCAAACAAGTCTTCCAAGCCAGCTGAGATAGGACCTCGTCATGTACGCAATCGTACTTCCCTCGGCAGCTTTGCTGAGCGTCTTATTCTACTTCATCGTCTATCCCTTGATCGAATACTTCCGAGACCCCAAAAGACTTCGTCGATTTCCGGCTTTTAAACCTTTAGCCGGCGTGACCAATCTAGTGTTCATGCGCGAAGCTGCACTCGGCTTCCGATCCAAGACTCTATATGAGAAGCACAAGAAACATCCGGTGCTTCGGACTGGGCCCAACTCGCTTTCGTACGGTACCGTTGATGCAATCAAGGACATCTACGGGCACGGAACCAAGTGTCTCAAGGGCGAGTTCTACGAGACGTTGGCTGGAACTCACTTCCACCTGGCTGATGTCGTCGATAAGGCAGACCACGCTCGGAAACGCAAGGTTCTGTCGGCGGCATACGCATTGAAGAACCTCGAGAACTGGGAACACAAAGTGGCTGACAAGACTGAACGCTTCATCGTCGGTTGTGACAAGGCCTGTACCCAGCCTCTGAAGGGGGGTCTTCGTCCAGACGCGGCAGATTTTACTTTCGATTACCGAGCGTGGACGAACTACTTCACTCTCGACGCTATTGCTGATATTGGTCTGTCTGAGAAACTGGGATTTCTAGACCAGGGCCATGATCTTGTGCGCGCCGAGCGCATGGACGGATCCATTCACGAGGTGAATTACAGAGCCTGCTTGCATTCGACTGCCGTCGCCCAATCCATCACCGTTTGGGCCGGTAATTGGTACAAGTTCAATCATCGTCTGACGTCTCTGATCTCGCCAACTTTTCGTCGATGGTGGAACCTGAACAAGGGATGGGATGGCATCGTCTACCACCGTGCAACCCAACGACTGAAACGCTACCAGGCTGGTGAAAAGTTGGAAGATTTCTTCCAGGCTTTGATGGAAGATAAAAATGGAACTCCCAATGGGCTCGACTGGGGCGAGATCGTCGCAGAGGTGTCCATCATGATGAATGCCGGCTCAGACACAACAGCTATTGCCATGAACAACGTCATGTACTGGCTGTTGAAGAATCCTAGATGCATGGAAAAGTTGCGCGAGGAAATCGATGCCGTTCTGGAACCTGAAGAGGTGGTTGCGCCCTACGACAAGGTCAAGCACTTGCCGTACCTCAGGGCGTGTCTCGACGAGTCTCTCCGGATAGTGCCGCCAACAACCTTTGGTCTTCCGCGACGAACGCCGCCTGAGGGGGCTTATGTTCTTGGAGATTTCATCCCTGGAGGTACGACAGTTTCCATCTCGGCATACATCGTCCACAGAGATCCTAAGATCTTCCCGGAACCCGAGTCCTACATCCCGGAGCGCTGGCTGGGTGACAAGGGCAAGGAACTGCAACCGTACTTTGTCAGTTTCAGTGCCGGTGCACGAGGATGCATCGGACGTAATATCAGTTACCTGGAGCAGACGGTGTTGTTGGCGAGTGTCTTGCACAGATATAACTTCGCCTTGCCCTTCCCCACGTGGGAACCGGAGAGGCGGGAGGCCATGAACCTGATGCCGAGTCCAATGCCTTTGAAGGTTTGGCGCAGGGTGTCAAAGCAGGAGGAATAATTACATGTAGTCACCAATGTAAACACGTACTTAGGTAGACGGCGCAAGAATTGCAAAGAGTATGGTCATCGAATAGACAATGCCAAGTAAACTGTTTCTCGACCCCTTACGCAAGTAAGTGAAGTAGTTGCAAGGGCTGAGTAAGTGCGAGTCGCTATTAACTAACGGGTTTATACAGAACGCTAGAGCTTGCTTTGCTCGCTGGTTAACTATGATCAATCCGCCGTCCCAGCTCGTGCGCGGGCGTTTAACATGGCCGCAATAGGCATCGCAGGGGGTGATGGAGAGTCCTCCCAACCCCAAGCCTCTCTGATCTGAGACTGTCTGCTCGCTGTTAGTGTTGTTTTGCAGTGGCCAAAGGGCTGGCGTGAGGGTCTACTTACGCTGCATGAGTCGGCCACCCCAACCGCCTGTCAGTCTTGACAAGGATCTTGTACAACTCCTCTTGTTCTTTCCGGTCTGTAAAACGATCGCCCGCCATGGTGATTGCTATGCATGCGTTCCTATTGTATCGCGTCGGTCAAAAGATGTTTGAGGAGGGTGTTGGCTTGCCGATTGATGGCACTTACACGTATGCTGGGGGTGTTCTCTCGTTCGCCTGTTTTGGGGCACCACGCAGTCAGCATATAAGCTCCCATATGAATTGATGGCGTCGATGAACCGCAAGCTTACCACTGCAAGGCCACATATCACACGAACGGTCTGTTTGAGTTCTTCCTCCATCGCCCGGAAAGCCGTACCAAGCCGCGCAACCTTGGGGTTGTGGGCAATCAAGAGCATCCGCGCCAGGTGATAGTGCTGCAATCCAGTCACAGCGGCGTCGGTGATGTACTGTTCTTCCAGCAGAAAGCCAGGTTCTGGATTTGCCCACATGGCGTCGAAGTACCATGGCTTCTCTTTCCACCATACATCAAGATCCTCTTTCAGTTGCGCGTAACTCCTTACATGGTTGTCTTCCTGACCGTAACAGTAGCTTAGACACATTGCACAAATGCTTACTGCTTTATTAGCATAATGGCAATCCACGGCATTCTCGTCGCTGTTACCGCGTTCCTGTATCCGTTTGATGCTGGGGAAGAAGCTGTGATAGACCGGGCGGGTGTGAACAAAGGCCATATATATCTCTTGCCTCAGGGCAAGCCAGAATGCAGAAAGTCGCAGACCGCTGAAGTCGGCGGCGTTCTCCTGGGCGGCCAGCAGGATTCTAGTACCCATCAGATGGGACTCGAGGGTCATGGAACCGATATCGACTTCTTCCGTGAATCGCAGGATTACGACAGCGGCCAGGAGGTTGTCATCTACGACGGCCGTAGAAGACGAGAGCGCCGGGATCAACGAGCGAAGGCAAATTTGATGGTATCGGTCGGCAATGACTCCATCAACGCCAATTGTTCGACTAAGACGTTTTGCGGAAGCTGAAAACATCGCGTTCAGTAGTGTCGGGCAGTAGACTGCTCTCTTCGGCACCACCTTGGCAAAGTGTCTATCGTTGTCGCACATGTCGAAGAGAGGTGCGAGGTTGTCGACGAAGTACCTGTAGAGGAAGGCTTCCTGACGGTCTTGAAGGGGCCATAGTGGTGTTTCGACGTAGGTTCTGTCGTTGCCGGTGGATTTGTCTTCTAGTTGGGGATCTATCGCTTCAAAGATGTGTTGGATGTTTGGAAAATCGAGTGACAAATCTTCTCCAAGGTGAAGTAAGTCCCATTGTATCGAAGCTCCATTATGACCGCTCGATGCAGACGTGTCGTCGTGATGATGGAATTCTTTGGCTGCGTTTTGTATGGCATCTTGTGTTGCAGAGCTCGTGTTCGGTCTGGGTCGCAAGTGTCTTCGTTGCTTCCTAATGCCATCCCGGCCGTACAGGGCGTCATGTAAGGCGTGTGATTTGATTGCTGAGCTTCGAGAGTGAGACAGCAACTCTGAAACTGGAGAAGAAGCAGCAGATAGTAGAGCAAGGTAGTCCTGTGGACTTTCATGTCTATGTGGAGTCCCTCGGTAGGTGTTTGCGCTGCTGTCGTCGGCCCCGGGCTCCCCGGTGACAGCAGCATGGATGTTGACCACATCTTCGGTCTCGTCAACAAAGCTGTAAGAGCGGTTTGTTGTTCGCACCCAGGTTTGCTTTTCTGAGAAGCTGTACTCGCTTTTGGCAGCCCCAGTTCCTCTCTCTGGCTGGACACTAATCGCAGAAGCAGGGTTCAAATCAGCTGGAGGGGCTCGGCTGCGGTATGATTACTGAACTTGGATCCACGAACCTAGGGTTCAGTGTATGCCTAAAGCGTACACTATATCCACGGGTACATTCGACTCCAGATTTTCGACAATTGGAACACGTTGATCGACTTGAATCACCTACACGTGGTCTTGGTCAGTGACAAGCATGGACTGCAATCAAGGAAATATTCGCCGAGTTTGAGATACGGCCCCAAAGGGCCTCAGCCACGGATAAATTCCCGGTGGGATGGTACAGATTCCGGCGGGAGGTTGAGGAGCCGCAAAATGAATAATCGGGTCTCTTACATTTGAGGTGCCTAGCGTGGAGAACCAACCATGTTGTTAGAATAGGCATTCATGATAGCTGAGAAAGACCGGGTTTGGAAGGCGTGCGGGAACAGTCTTGGGCCATTGGCCTTGCCAGGTCCATCTCGCCGGAACACACAACCCTCGAAATCGAAACTCACCTTAACCTGCAGATCTACAACAGCATGCGTGTCAACAAGACTGTTCCTGGTGGCATAACAAACCGCAGATGGCTCCATCGGGTAAAAACTGTGATCCTACGCCACACAGACATGGACATGTTCGCCGGCCCTAAGACAGACGAGGGGACGCAACGGGGTTGAGGGAAGTGACAGGATTGGAAAGAATACTGACGTTACACGGATTCGTCCGGGTCTGTACTCGGTTCATGTTCTGGACCCGCCGGGCACTGGACTTGTCCAGCGTCGAGTATGTGCGCTGATACGTGTGGTTTCCGCGCAGACAGTGGCACACAAGAAAACCAGCCGGTGGGCGCAGATTTCCTGGGTCTTGATTTGACGGTTCATAGGGGAGAGAAAGACTCAAAACGATATTGTGTGAGAGTGGTGAGTTGGTGGCGGGGGCGCCGGGGGGACGAGAAACGTAGAACGGCGACTGACGAGTACTGCTACAACGACTGCTTTCCAGGTTGGCAACTTGCAACAATGGCCTACTGACATTGGATTTAGGTAACCCGGCCAAAGCGGGAAAGTCGTTGGGTTTTGGCGGTAGGTGGAAGACATGGGAGACGATGAAGTGGACATGGATGAAAGCAGGTCAAATAGGAAACGCGAGCGAAATAAGACCGACTTGCCTATTTGAAACTGGATAGGCAACTTTCCCCCGCACGCGCCCTGCATACAGCGCTAAGAACTCCACCAGCGCTGTACGGCACCGGCACTAGACTAATTCGCCCTCGTGGTGATGAGATGGAGGTTTCTACACATACCCCCAGGCTGGATTGAACTTCCGGATCGATTCCGGGCTGGGACAAGAGTCCCGCGGGATACGACTTATCTTGTTCATGACACGAATCTGGGGAAAATCCGGGGGAAGCTTCAATGGCTGGGCTTGTCTAGACTTCGACTTGACTTGGCACTTCTACCGACATGGATGAAGGACTAAGGTATTCCTCGGTGTTTGCCATCCTGCGATTGGTTCACACATTATCGTGACCTTCCATCTCCCTCGAGATCAGCCAAGCTGCGTGAACTAGGGTGTTATTGAAGATAACTCGCGTAGAGCTTTCTATTCCTTACCAGCTAATTGGACCCTCGACAAAGTCTAGCAAGGCGCCACTGTTGAACCAACACCTTGCTCAGGGCAATCCTATTGCTTCACTGCACGCCCTCAGATCTTCACTACGACTGCTGATATAAAAACTTCACTTTACCCCAGGTCTTCCCCAGATTATCACAGCATTCTACGGAGCACTGCCCCTCAAGCCAATTGGTACCTTTCTTCCTTCTCTCATAGTCATAATTGTCTTGTTTTGCCATCCCCATTCAAACACAAGACACCTCATACCTTGATTCGGCTACTTGTACGAAACGAACCGCCATCATGGAGACCAAAGACTTCAAAGAATTGGCCCAGCACAAGGAAACCGTAGCTGACGGCTCCTCTGAGATTCAAGCCAGTCTTGATGGGCTCGACTCTATCGAACAGACCCAGACGGGCAAGTTCTCGTGGCTAGTGTCCATCACCGCGGCCATCGGCGGCATGCTCTTCGGCTACGATACGGGCATCATATCAGCCGTGTTGGTTTACATCGACAATGATCTCGGGCACACCCTCTCCTCGTCTGAAAAGGAACTCATCACGTCAATCACCTCCGGTGGCGCCTTCATCGGTGCCATCTTTGCGGGAGCCACGGCAGACCGCTTCGGGCGCAAGATTGCCATCTACGTCGGCAGCTTCCTGTTCACCGCCGGCGCTATCATCCAAGCTGCCGCCAACTCGCTGGCCTTGATGACCGTTGGTCGTCTGGTCGTTGGGTTTGGCGTCGGCTCCGCAGCCATGATCATTCCGATGTATGTCGCAATACCTTAATATCAAATGGGCCATGATTCGATGGCAATGGACCCTCGCTAACATGAGAAATAGGTACATTGCCGAGCTATCCCCTGCCAAATACCGCGGTCGTATGATTGGTCTCGACAACATGTGCATCACGGGCGGCCAACTAGTCAGCTATGGTGTCGGTGCCGGCTTCGCGCACGTACAAGGCGGGTGGCGTTACATGGTTGGCGGCGGCGCGATTCCAGCCATCATTCTGGCGTGCATGCTACCCTTCTGCCCAGAGTCGCCAAGACAGCTGATCTTCCACGGCAAGGAACAAGAGGCCGAGAAGGTTATTCGAAAGATTTTCCCCAATGGAACGGACGAGCAAGTCCGGATGAAAGTCCGTCACATCACCATCCACGTCGAAGAGGCCAAGAACATGAACGCCGGGAAGTCGCAATGGTGGGTGCTTAAGCAGCTCTATGTTGTCCCAGCGAACCTCCGCGCCCTGATTGCGGCGTGTGGACTCATGGCCATAAGTCAGCTTAGCGGTTTCAACTCGCTCATGTATTTCTCGCCGACCATTTTCTCCGTCGTTGGATTCAGTAACCCTGTGGCAGTTGGCACTATCATCGCCGGCACCAACTTCATCTTCACGCTTGTCAACCTGTTACTCGTAGACCGAGTCGGCCGTCGCAGGATACTACTCTGCACAGTGCAGTTCATGGGTCTGTTCCTGGTCGTGGCCGCAATCGCCTTCAAATGGATCCCCGTCAACCATGATCTATCCCTTGCGGAGGGGGCTACGGTTGGACCGCCGGCCATCATCGTTCTCGTGAGCATGGTGTTCTTTGTCGGATTCTACTCCTCAGGTATCGGCAACACAGCCTGGCTGAGCAGCGAGTTCTTCCCGATGGAGGTGCGTGCCATGGGCACCATGATGCTGACGATGAGCTGCTGGGGTTCCAACATTATCGTCGCCTCCACCTTTTTGACACAGATGGAAAACACCACACCCTCTGGAACGTTTGGATTTTATGCAGCTATTTGTGTGCTCGGGTGGGTCTCGATCTATTTCTGCTACCCCGAGGTCAAGAACATGACGCTTGAGGATATTCGCGAGGTGTTCAGCCACGGGTACGGTGTAAAACGTGCCAGGGAGCTTCAGAAGCAGATGAAGGCTGACCGAAAGATGGCGTCGGTTTCGGATGAAAACGTCAAGGTGTAGAAAGAGCTGAGAGAGTTTGGGGCTTGCGTCTGCAGAAGGTCGAAGCGACGGTTGTTCTTGGAGTGATTGCGTTTTGAGATGGTTTAGACGGTAACGTGGTGAGTCCGAAGGTCTGTGATCTGTACTCGTGTAGAGCCCGAAAGTCTAAAGTTAAATGGCGGATAGAAATAATAAGGCTAGCCACCCACCGATCCATGGATAAAGTCAAAATGTCTATGCCCTTCTTGTGTCATTAGCCGGGGCCTTGGTTCCAGTTAGAATGAACGAAAGTTTTGCGACGATATGGTCTCCAGCGGTATCCTGAAGTTGAGTATGTTCATGAAGAACGAAGAAGGGAGTAAAGCACGCTGGGAGGAACCCAACCAGCAAGTATCAAATGACGGGCAGGCTGTGAGAGACCATTGGCCAGGTTAGTTGTAGGAATCACTACATCACCGTTGGCGGCCTAGCCATCTTTAATCCGGTTCTGTGAGAGACCTCAAGCCACTGTAATATCACTTTCCAAGTCGGGCTGGGTGATCCATGATTCCGAGATCTACAATGTTCCGCCCTACCTCTAGCGACATTATCACTCTAGTGTCCGCTGCCGGCACGTGTTTGGGGGCGGGCGAACAGGGATTCCTCTTTGCTCTAGGCGGAAGCTACCCAGAGTAGAAGACTTACCTCTTAGGGTGTGTACATGTAGACCTCCTTCGGCTGCAGTCCCGTAGTCTCAGACGGTTTATGCCACAGTTCCAGACATTTACGCAATGCTCCACCAATCTTACGTGAGCTCAAAGCTGGTTGCCAGGTAGGAGAACTCTGTCATGCACTCACGGCAAGCCATGCCGACTGTAAACTGTAGAGGTTTGCCATCGTATTTCATAGCCTCTCGTGGCTTGAGGGAATCACGGGTACCACCTCAATCCATTCCACAAGAGGCAAATAGAAGCAAGCATAAAGATTGATGTGCCCTGCCTGATGTAATCAACATTGCACCTAAGCCTCTAGGACGCAAAGGATCGAAGACATGTCTTCCTTTCTTAGAACACGATCCATACTTCAGAGACCTTCACCGACCTGAAGCTACTAGGCCTTCACACAGTTCAGTTCAGGATGGTTCGTTCGATATGTAGAACCCAGGCGCCTCGAGCCGAGTTCTGTAAGGCTTGGCTCTAGCATGGTTGTCGACGACGAAACTCGACCCTCTGGGCCCAAGCCCACTACTTATGCAAGAAAGACTCTACGTTGTTCCCACCCCATACGAGGCGCCTTAAACCAAGCAAAATTCGAGATGGTCAAGAGTGAAACGCCTGTCTTGTGGCTGGACATGTTTGGGTCGAGGAGGTCATCACAGGTAGCTGTGCCTCACTGAGACAGCATCCAGAGCATGCCAAACAGGTGTAGAAATCAATTGTATCTTGCCCAGATTCAAAACAAACCATATGATGTTTGAAATATATCGGCGAGACTTACTGCTTCCCAACTGATTCCATGTTCAAAATAGCCATCGTCGACGCGACTCCTTGGATTAATTATTCAAGCTTCTAGCAGGTAAGTATAATGAGATGTCAGGATCGGGAGCCTTCCCGAGGGCTTTGTGGTCTTGATGCAATAGTGGATAAGAATTTCCATAATTTAACGTCATGAACTGTTGTGTACAGATGATACTAGGGGGTGTATGGCTATGAGAATCACGGCTTGCGTACCGATCACGCCCTTCCATAAAAGCGATCGGTGGGAGCACCAGTCAGCAAGCGCGCGGGATGCATCAGTGCGGTCTGTTCGGCCAGCACAGCTATCCCTCTACGTGATGTATAGCAGGAATTTCGCCGAACAGAATGTTTGAGTCGAACGGAAGCGAGACCTAAGACTGACCCGATCCGCTCTGTCTAATGGGTGCTAGAGCTCCACGACTCCGTAGAGGGGCATTTGATTGGCTATGATGCACAGAACCATCGTTACAAAACATGCTACAATTTAAAAGAACCTAGACTCAGTGCAAGAGCGGGCCCAAGCTAGGTAAACGAAACTGTGTTTAAAATTGGTGTCTTTTTTTGTTCAAAAAGTTTGGCGTAAATCAGTGACAATGGCTTCAGATGGCGATGGCATGCGTCGCCGTCGAGACAAACATGGGGTCATCCAATGTTGCTATTGGTGTGCCCAGTGTTCTGTCGGCTTCAGGGACCCAAAATGGTAAGGTCAGAAGCTCGAACCTCCCCGACGTTTACGAATAAGTTGTACTCCGTACGAAAAATCTCTAGAAGGTAAGTCAAGCCGACGATGACAACATGCCGTACTGCTTGCCCGAGTAAATGTGGTCTTACCCTTCCGCTTCATCCATAGCATCGGAAAATAGGCAGCTAATTCACTGCGGGGGTTTTTTATTTTATTTATATTTTATTTTTTAGAGAGAGATGATTGCCAGCGGCTCTCTAGAGAACGAGTTGCGTAAGCTTTGCTCCCGCTTCGAAAGTTCAAGAACTTAGTGACTTGTTTGGGCTGTTGTCTACAGGATATTACTCACTTGCTTGCACCCGACTTTGACGTTGACCATTTTTCAATGTGGACTGCTTGAGAACTTGTCTATTTGGACTCTCCAAAACACTGTCGATGGGGAGAGCGCGCCTTCACCTCCGTGTGGGCGCCGCATCAATGCGACGAATTTGCTGCACTATGCGGTGAACATCGGCGCTCAACCGCCGTGTGGGTCTTGCGGCGCAACATGGGGACTAAGGTACCTTAAGGTAAGGTAGACACGGTGAGCGTCGCTCGGCGTCTCGGTGAGAGCATTCTTATCGGAGAAAGTACACCGACGATAAGAAGATGGCCCCACCTGCCGAACCCAAAATTTTGACCTTGCAAGACGGCATGGAACTTTTTCCAGCCAAGTCGAGGATCTGAATCACCACACTGCATCAACACCAATTGACTGCAACACATAGTCCACAACCATGGCCGGAACAACTACGAAGAAGCGGACAAATGATGGCCGCCTTGCGCCCCCAACCAAGAAGCAAAAGCGACAAGAAAAGAAGCAAGCCGAACCTGCCTCCGACAACGAAGAACAAGAATTCGATGCGGTAAACCTACTCGATTCTGACGATGATATTCATAACGCGGCCGTCGACGACGGCGCTGCCTCGGACGACGACTCAGCTAGTTCAGGCGATGACAAGCCCGCAGCACCCAAACAGAAGACAAAACCTGCTCCCAAGCCCAAGAAGAGCAGAGACGCGCCCGTAGGCACCGACTCGGATTCCGACTCAGAAGAAGACGAGAGCGACGATGGCGGCAATCCCAATTTCATCAAGTCCAAACGCAATGACCCGTCCGCCTTCTCAACATCAATGTCGAAAATTCTGTCCACCAAGCTGTCAAGCGCGAAACGATCAGACCCCGTCCTCGCCCGCAGTGCAGAGGCCCACCAGTCCGCCCAGGCGGCCGTCGACCAGGCGCTCGAATCCAAGGCGCGCAAGCAGATGAGGGCGCAGAAGAAGGAGGCCATGGAGAAGGGCCGTGTGCGCAATGTGCTAGTGGCGCCGGAGACGGAGGAGACGTCGACAGGGGAGATGATTGAGACGGAGCGGAGGTTGCGCAAGGTCGCGCAAAGGGGCGTTGTCAAGCTCTTCAACGCCGTGAGAGCGGCGCAAGTGAAGGCTGCGGAGGCAGAGAAGAAGGCGCGCAAGGATGGCGTCGTGGGTGTTGTGCGGAGGGAGGAGAAGATCAACGAGATGAGTAAGAAGGGATTCTTGGACCTGATTGCGTCCGGAGGAGGAGGCCTGAAGAAGGGCGGATTGGAGGAGGCTTAATTCAAAAAGGATACCAATGGCAAATCAAAACCCTGCAACGCCTTTGTACAGGCGTGGCTGTTTCTTTTCATCACTTCCTTCACCAGATTCGTCCGCCAGATTTGTCAAGGTTCATGAGCTTAGAGGAGTGATGTTATTCCCTCCCACCGTCCCTCGATACCCGCCAATATCTAGCATAAGCCGAGCCGAGCCGATGTATCCCATCCGTGATGCCGCGCTTGATTGAAGAACACCTCCCTAGCTTTTTCTCCCCGCTAACCGTTCTTATCCTTTCCTTTTCTGACATGGTGTATGTATGATATAGTACAGATGATTAAATAATTGTGTGGTATGCCGCTTCCAACGCCGCAATGCTGAAAGAGGGTGATTGTTTATTTGAAGTCGCTGGCCTGAAGGTTCCGTGTCATCGAGGGCAGCTTAATCTTGAGGCCGTCTAGCTCCTTTGTCATGGTTATCTGGCAGCCCAATCGACTTGTCTCGGTCAATCCAAAGGCCAGGTCGAGCATGTCGTTCTCGTCATCTTCGGGCTCGGGCATCTTCTCGTAGTATTCCTCTTCGGCAACGATGACGTGGCATGTTGAGCAAGCGCAAGAGCCTCCGCAAGCACCTAAATATGTAAAGTTAGCATATCACATGCCATGGCATTGCCGCCAAGAGTGCTGTGACATACCCTCCATCTCCAAGTCGTTATCCTGCGCAACGTCAAGAAGGTTATCCCCTTCGCTTACAGCGATCTTGAACTCGTCTCCGTCCTTGTCAACGAATGTTACCCACAACCTATGGGATATTATCAGTATAAGTCTCGGTAAATTGTTGTGGACGGTCTCACTCTTCGCCGGCCTTCGGAGGGGTGATATGACCATGCGCCTGGGCAGCCGAAGCCGAGAATGCACGCGTTGAAGGCCACTGAAGCTGTCTCGTGGGAAGCTGTGTCGTCCTCTTGGACATGATCTGGTTGTGGATGCTTCGGGTCTGGCGTTGCACTGGGCGGGCCTGTCGGGATGCGCTGGCAGCCATCCTGCAGAGGCTTGTGCTGAGTCTGGTCGAAGACATGGTTGCTGGGTATGAGTCCGTTCTCGGCTTCACAGCCGGGATTGCTTTTCCTTCTCGGTGTCAAGGGAATCGATCGAAGCAACCCTCGAGTTCGGGAGCACGGTGGAAGGGGGACAAGAAAAGACGAAGAGTCGTGAGGCAATTGTACGGAGTACACAGCGACACCAGGGTTCAGCAGTCAGATGAATTGTTTAGCTTGCTCGGTTCGTGGGTGGTGGGTGCCCGCGAGCAATGACAAAAAGTTGTTGGAAAGCTTCGATAAATGCGCAAGGGAACTGTGGAGATGCATTGGATTCAGCGAAAATTCTATAGGCTCGGACGCCTGCAGGAGCTCCGATAAGGACCCCACTCCTCGGGCTTATCGGCCGGCGATTCGCAATGTTCCGCCTCCGGAGACCCTGGCCCACTGCAGCGGAGGTACCTAAGGCACGGAGAAGGTGCCATGGGCCTTTCCTGCCGTCAGAGTCCTGAAAGGGGTGGATCCCATTGGTCGGTTCATCAGCGGAGTTCTTTTCAGCTCTGTTACCAAGCAGCAATAGCACCAGAGAGCACCAGGGAAGGCGCGTTTAGGTACCTCCTGTCGTGTGCTGGCCCCGCTAGTCTTTATCTCCGAGGTGATTTCCATTTCATCATGCAAAATTGGTAGCAAAAGTGGAAAGCTCACGAAATCATGCATCACGAGAGTTGAGCCATAAACAAACGCCAAACGAGAACATGGCTACTCATCGAGAAGGGGTGAATCCCCTGAGACCATACTACAAGCCGCCGACTATAGGAGAACCTCCTGATCCGACATCTGCCTCATCCGCACCGAATCCTTTTGCCCGTCATGGAGCCAATGCAACGAGCGAACGGTACGCGTCTAAAGCACGCGACATCTTTTCCGACATCGACTACAAGGACTATATCAGTGAGCCATCTCCTTCAGTCGTTCAGACTGTCAAGGACCTCGTCGACGAGCTACTATGGAAGTACACCTCCGTCCTGATGGCCCAGCCTTTCGAAGTTGCAAAGACGATTTTGCAGGTCCGAAGTCACGATGACGTGACTTTGGCAGCAGTACCTACTCCCCTGGCCACGCCTGTCTCCGAGAGAAAGCGTTCTGGCTATGGCAATGCCGCATATGACGAAGCCGATTCCGACTCGGATCTTGACGAACCTGCCTACTTTACCTCCAACATCCCGAGTACGCCGACCCCGTCCTACTCCAGGGAACACCGGAGCCGCCAGTCTCCCTCCTCCTCAACACCTCCACAGACGCCAGCAGCAAAGCAGCAGGCCGTACCAGCTCATCAAATCACAATCCGTCGATCCGACTCGTTGATGGAAGTTATTGGCCAACTGTGGCAAAAGGAGGGAGCTTGGGGCGTGTGGAAGGGATCGAACGCAACGTTCCTATACTCTGTGCTCTCCTCGCTGTTGGAAAATTGGTCCAGAAGTGCCTTGAGCGCATTGTTCAATGTGCCAGATCTCGGCGTCAAGGAGGATATTGATCGGCTTATTGATATTGCCTCGCCCTATCCGTGGGCCTCCCTGTGCGTTGCCGCTGCTGCGGCTGTTGCAACGGGCCTCATTCTCGCACCTCTGGACCTGGTGCGCACAAGGTATGTCACTGGCTGTTTCGTATTTACTCGGATCCCAACGCAGTGCTAACTCCGGAATAGACTTCTCGTCACACCAATTTCAAAGGGATCTAGGAGAACACTTTCGACCCTCCGTACTCTCCCATCCTACGTCTGCCCCTCTTCGCTCGCCATCCCTACGATCTTCCATTCGCTCATTCACCCCATCCTTACCCTGTCGACACCACTTGTCCTGCGTACTAGATTCCTTATCGACAGCCGCGTCTCTCCCACCACATTCTCAGTTGCCAAATTCTGCGCTTCCTCGGTAGCACTGTTCGTCAAGCTTCCTCTTGAGACGGTTCTCCGGCGCGGCCAAGTTGCCGTCCTCTCCACTCCCGCACACGTCCGGGCCCTATCAGGCAAGGACCAGAAGCTCGAGACGATTGTCCCGGCTGGGCCTTATAAAGGTGTTCTCGGAACCATGCTCTACATCATGAATGAGGAAGGTACCCGGGCGATCCCCACCGCGCCCGCACCGGTGAAGAAAGTCAGGGGCGGCAAGCCAAAGGTTGCAGAAACGGTCTACCGCAAGGGTCAAGGACTCGACGGCCTATGGCGCGGGTGGAAGGTCTCCTGGTGGGGCCTGGTTGGACTTTGGACCGCCGGGGTCATCGGGAACAGTGCCGAGGGTGAATTCTAGAAAAGGGATTTTCAAGCGAGCCGTCCGACGGCCGATATGCAACAACACATCCAACCAACGGCCGACTGCAAAGTGCGAGTGCGAACAACAAAACATCCAACTGTAATTTTGCTGTACTAGAAGTGTACTTGGGCTGCGAGATTCTTGGCGTTATGGGGAACGGAAATTTTCGATACTCTGAACAATTCTCTCCTCTACGACCATGATGAGATACGGTATGATATCCTCCTTTCAAATTTTGACCAAAGCGACGCAAAGGAAAACCCAACCTTCGAAACGCTGTACTCTCTGTACCTTTTTTCGTCCTGCTGGAATCCAACCTTCATAGTCTCAGGGCTCACTGAGCCACTACTCCTAATAGAACATTCTGCGTTAAAATTAGTGCTTTCCGTCACACTCTCCCATTTATCCCAATTTACGTGCGAATCCCAAGGTTGTGCTACCCCTCCGTCAGACTTAAATACGTCCGTATCTGTGGGATTTCGCTAGAACTTTCTTCGTACGACGCCAGAAACTGGGTTCGAGGAGGGTGCCAACCCATTTATCCACCAGGTCGTGCAGGGTGCCTGCATGGAGAATGCAGCTGTCAGTAGCACCAAGGGGCTTATCGTGGCAGGTCATCTGAGCATTTTGGGCATTTCCCTCCCCTCCGGCCTCCAGAAACGCCGATGAGTCAATGTCAGGATGTTTCCGCGCCTGTGATAGAGGCTGGACCCCCGAAGCCTTCCTCTGCTTTCAGGCACCAGATGCTCGAGCGCCCGTCTGCAAGATGGGCGCCACAGATTACCCAGAAGCTGTCTACATGCCATTCATGCACACTGCAAGCCTTTTCCCTCAGGATCCGAGGGGACATGGACCCTAGGCAGACAAGGGCCGGTATCGTGGGTTCTCGTCCGATGGCACGATGTCATAGTACCTAGATTATCGTGGTGGTTTGTTGCAATAGGAGGTCCGCCTGCTCGGTCTTCTCTCATGGGAGGCGCCCAAAAGGGGGACGACGTTCGATGGATGAGACAGAAACTTCAAAAAGGGACCAGCGCGGCCTGTCCTTCCGTAAACGGTCCTGTTGCAATGCAATCACCTCACACATCACTTCTCAACTCTTTCTTGCTGGCTTTCTCGCGTATTGCGAACCACCCAAGTTTTCCCCATTCACCTTAAACCAAGACCATGGCACCTACTTCAATCTTCCGCGTTAGCTCTGCCCTTAACGCTATACTCCTCACCTGCATCATCCTCAAGCATGTTGCGTTGGGCGTCGCGCATTCTACAATGCGCAATGCTTGCATGGTCGTTCTCATGCCCTTCATGTTCTTCCACATTGCCATCATCGAAGGCTGAGACATCAGTCGTGGGCGCAAGCACGCGGTGTAAGACGGACATGACAACATGGAGGGCCTACCGCCACTGTCTTTCCTTTGGTAAACAAACATACGCACATCACCAATACGCCCATCGGCAACATCGTATCACATCCCATCCCTTGTTTGGAGTCGAGGCGTCGCCGTTTCCATCCACATAGGTAACGGGGCATACTTCAACTACCTGTCAACAGTAAGGCAGCATCAACAGCGGTGGTAACACTGCTCTTCCGGCCCGTAACGCTCCCGCGTGTCAATCCGTCAGGAAGTGCTCCGCCGAGACCCTATGCCACGGTCCATCCACATGGCATAGCTGCACTCCAGACGCCGGCCACCGCCAGTTTCGAGGGACCCGTCACGATACAAGGCCATGGAATCGGAAAGCTAGAGCCCGTTATCGGAGGCAATCTGTACCTTGCTGGGGCACTTTTTCTGCCCGGCTGTCAACTTCAAAGAGGCGTTCACGTTAGTAGCCGCTAAGCATGGCTGGGCCATTCTTGGACGAAAACGTCGGTTGTTCAGCAATCTGACCTTCAATTTGGAGGAGTCGCTTGAAATATTATAAAATCACCGAGCCTGGGGCATTGCATGTGTCTTACTTTAAACAATAAACAACCATTTACGTGCACCACTGGCCAAAGTATTTTGCCAAGTCCACCTGTCCCCTTTGAGCCTACTTGTTTTCTCCTTTGAGATACCTAAGCCCAATTGTAAGGCCGATGAGTGATTTAGGCAGTATCTCAGTTCAGCCCTCGGTATGGACTCGCAGAGAGACACTCTCACTGCGCACTGCACTATGCGCAACATCTGAATCAGGCGAGAGTGGTGTGCCCACGAGCCAGTAAGATCAGCAGTAGGCGCAGACAGACAAGTCAAAGTCTTGTCATTCCAAGGGGCGCTCTGTAGCATATTGTCGCCTCTTTCTGGTGCATCTTCTCACGTGATTCTCGCATGGTCAGGGTCAGCCACGTTCTCGTATCGTCCTACTTGAGGCACGATGTCGAGGCTGCAATTCCTGATTTCTATCCCAGTGTCTCGCATGGAATGAAGGTTGAAGACATCTCCACCATGATCTGACAACCTTCAGGTGTGGCTTCGACCCCAGTAGCTTGCAATGATTCTGTGGGCAGAATCGGCCTCCCATCTACTCGGCGAGGGAATGGTCTGGGTTTGCCGCCCTGCCAAGTTGAGCGAGTAAGAAAGTCCGAAGAAGCCCGCGGAACCGCGATTGGGTCACACACAGCCGATGAGCAATGTTAAGACAAGTGGTTACATGTCTTCACGCTATCGAGCTTGACAGGAGGCTAGACTGTCGGGGAAAGGCGCTAGTCGTCAAGCAGCGTTTCGTCGTGTCTTCAGACTTCACAGAACAGATTTAGCTGCCCCATATGTCTCGACTGAGCTCTTTCAAAGGCACATACCTACACAATTTTTTGGAAGGTCAAAATCGTCTTGTTCACTGGTCAGGCATGATATCTTACTACTCAGAACCTGGGTTTGGCTGCCTCTCACAGCCCGCCGACCTTCACTTGAGAATACGTGCTCTGGGGAAAGGGTTCTTCAAGACACACTCTCTCCCTTGCATCCCTAAATGCAGAGTTTGCTGCGTCTAGCTCTCGCACATCGAACACTCGCTTGGAGGCTCAACATGATTCCGGGAAGACCTTGAATCTCGAGCTTCTGCTCCAGCCGCGGACCGGTTCCGCAGTTGGCGGCTCGGAGTCAAGACGTTTGCGACGGGCGGCTAGTTTTTGATCTGGACTTCGATCCACCTCTCTAATGCCAGTAGCAGCCCTTTTAAAGTTGAGAGAGAGGCGCTTGGTCTGATCCACGTGGCGTGTGATGGGCTTCAAGCTGCCCCTGCTTCCGGCATCATGTGGGAGAGTTCATCGTGCCTCATGGGTCGGGACAGAAGAGGGCAACATTGAGGCACGCCTAAGAAGTTCAGAATCGGTGGCGGACTCATGGCGCGCCTCGAGATTTCAGCTAGCCAGGGAGACAACGGCGAGACTCCCTTTCGCAAAGTATAAGACCATGTGAGGGAACACCGATGTTTGGAATGTTTGACTCACCCTATCCCTAGCTCCCACATGGTGATCTCACGCGAATTAACTCAGTGCTCAGCGGGGTTATCAAGTATAAAGTATCAAGATCAACGCTTCCCGAATAGTCGAATCCGAGCGAAAGGATCATCACTCTTTCTGATTTCGTTTACACACACTCGTTCTTTTCATTCGTTGCTCATCCCTTCCTCTTTCGGACGTTCTTCAACGCCGACTCACATTCTTTTTATACAATGGGCAACCGTAAGACACCTGGCCTTCTCGCCATCTTGACATCTGCTGTTTCGGTCGCCGCTCACGGCCATGTCACTAACATCGTCGTCAACGGCGTCTCATACCGCAACTACATCCCCGTCCAGGACCCATACACCAACAACCCGCCTCTCGTAGCCGGCTGGACGATAGATCAGCGCGATAACGGCTTTGTCGCACCTGACGCTTACAACGCTCCGGACATCATCTGCCACAGACAAGCAGTGTCTGGCAAGGGCCGAATCACAGTTGCTGCCGGTGATACTGTGCAGCTCCAATGGACGGAATGGCCTGACAGCCACAAGGGCCCCGTTATGGACTTCTTGGCAAACTGCAATGGACCTTGCAACGCCATCGACAAGACAGCACTCAAGTTCTTCAAGATTGGCGGCGCAGGCTTGATCAACCCTCCCCAACAGACAAACCAGTGGGCAGCAACCGTGTTGATCAATAACGGCAACGCCTGGTCTGTCCGTATCCCACCCAATGTTGCTCCAGGCCACTACGTTCTTCGTCACGACATTATCGCTCTTCACAGTGCCGGCCAGCAGAACGGAGCGCAAAGTTACCCTCAGTGCATCAACCTGGAGATTACCGGCTCCGGAACCGATAATCCTGCTGGAGTACCAGGAACCGCTCTCTATGGCGCCAACGACCCCGGTATCCTGTACAACATCTACCGGGACAACCTCAACGACTATGTCATTCCTGGTGGTGCCATCATCTCGGGTGGTGTTTCAATGATCCCTCAATCTAGGATTCAGATCACGGCATCTGGTAGTGCTACCCCCTACGGTACAACGATTCGTGCAAGCTCAGTTATCACGGCCTCAGCCAGTGCCCCAGCTTCAAGTTCTGTCATTGCTGTTGTCACTAGCAGGTCTTCAAGCACAATCAGCTTTGGCAACTCTACTTCGGATACTACCACCCTGATCCAAACTTCTATCACTGCTGCTACGACGACAATCACACTGACTCGCACAAGTTCAGCCTCAATCTCCAGCTCGAGCCCTAGCTCAAGTAGTACAAGCAGCACCAGCAACAACTCTCCAACCAGCGCCACGAGAACAACGTCTCAGACACCATCGCCAACCACCTTCCAGACCATGACCACGACGGCACCACCCGCAGGAGCACCGACACAGAACTTGTACGGCCAGTGCGGTGGCATGAACTACGCTGGTCCGACCAGGTGCCCCGACTACGCGACTTGCACCACCGTCAACCCGTACTATGCGCAATGTTCTCCGGCTCCTGTACCCGCGGGAGCTCAGTCTCTGTACGGACAATGTGGCGGTATTAACTGGCCTGCTGAGAGCCCGACGTCTTGTGTCCCTGGCGCTACTTGCAAGACGGCCAACCCGTACTACGCCCAATGTACTCCGGCATGATTAGTATAGAGTTGCTTGTGTCACTGGATGGTATTGCGGTGTGAGGGTTGATGTGGTTTAGCGTTGCATGATAGCCTGGGCGTTCGTGTTGTTTTCTTCCAGCTATTTGGTTCTTCTTCAAAAAGTCATCGAATATATCTAGATGGACTACCTTATTCTTCAATAAACGGCCTCCGGGTGATCATTTGTATCTCACTCGCCCTTTTTATTTTAGTCTGAACCCCTGATGTCAGTCAATCTCAGTCTTCTCTAGTGTAGGTACGTTACCTCTGTCCTAGGTGCATGCTAGTCTACCCGGTATGTCTACAATCGAGATCTTGTCCACTGAAAGTCTGCAGAAATCTTGATGATGTCTTAGTATAGAGGTCATACAGACTTAGACTACAAACTTTTGAGTAATCGTAATATGTTAATGACCCGGAACCGCTGCCAGTGGCCTACCCAATTCTATAGACCGGTTGTCGATGAGGAAGCCAGACGTGTTCATTGCCTCGCAGGCCAACCCTTGGAATCGAGCAGTGTAACACGGCAGCTAGTTCCAGTTGTTGCCATACGTCTCAGATCGTATGTGTCACAAGTCACTTTGCCTGCTTTGGCCGCCTATGCTCCAGTCACTGAATCAAGTACCAGGAAAAGCACATTCACCTCATGGGCTACCAGATATCTCAACTAGAACCATGTAGAGAGCGGAATCCTTGACATCGTCGAATGACCTTATGGTGGGAGCCCACACTTAAGCAAGTGAGGAGACAAGAAGGAGTTAGTTAAGGCTAGTTATCCATATAATTAATGATCTGAATCGTGATGCAACAACAACTGCCTGTGCGACCAATAAGTCTAAGACCCAATATGTGACTGCAGGCGTCGTGAACGTTGAAAGCCTTCACATCGGATGATCGGCAAACGGTAATATCAAGGATTCTGTCGTGACTGTTGTTCGCTTGACCATGTCTTCATTCGATACTGGCAAATTGATTAATATTGACGAGGTGAAACTTTTGAGTTCTGCCCTGTACATTAGAATTCATATAAATACGATGGCTTCTCGCTCATCCTTTAGTACACTCTCATCTTGATCCTGTCCACATGATCATCAGCATCACCATCCAGGACTCAACTGCCAGCATCGGACACTCCAACTGTGTCACTCGATCCATCATGACCCCTCTTGCTCAAATCGCCTCTGTCATCCTCTTTTTGGGGGGCACCATGGCATCTCCTACTGGGAGTAGCTGCGAGCAAGTTACCCCTTACATGCTCACCGTAAGTCACTCTCTCCTGGCAAAGAGCTGTATTACTGACCGACACTCCAGTACAAAGACATTGGCTCGAGTGCTTTTCCTATCTTGAACCCTGTGTTTCCGCCTACCCCTTACAAACAGCTGAAGTACTCGGGCCTCGGAGTCAAGTCCGTCGGTGGGGCGCTTGACCCCAATCTCCGCGAGAACGAGTTCCTGGTGTACGGCACCATCACCACAGCCTCAACACTGGAAAACCCGTTAATTACCAAAGACTACAGTGGATCAAAGGTAACGAGCTTTGAGCTCGAGACGTTTGACTTCCAGTGTGTTCGCACTGGCCTCGAGAATATGAAGAGGGCTTGCAAGCTCACCGTGAAGGGAGTGGACGTGAACGGCAACACCATCACTGAATTCTGCTCATATGACCCCGATGTTCTTGGATCAAGCTTGGCGAAGTGCAACCTTGTCAATGAGAAGAATCTCAAGAGCGTCAGCTTTGAAACTGCCAGTCCTATTACAGGAACCACTATCACGATCTTGACGGCCATGGACAACCTCAAGGTCAACGTGAAGGCGTCAACTTGTTGATGATGAAGTGTCAAGAACCTCACCCCATCCTAGAACAGTCAAGTCTCGGGCAATAGAATTGAGAAGGGGACTTCAACTTGGGGAATAACACCATTGTTTCTTGGGGCTGGATGCAAGACAACGTACACATACACGAAACAGACTTTGAACTCGTTTGGACGACAGGATATGTTCATGGAGTCAACGCTGGGCTCCGGACCAGGCGGCATCATCACCTTCCTTCAAATTATGCCGCACTGACTATCGCTCATTTAATCAGAAAATATAAATACACGTGCTTACTGCTATCAGAACACCATTTCTTCCCTTGATTTTTAATTGAGCAAAGGTCACCACACTACCAAGTAATGATGCCGTGTTCCTTTCCCAATTGTCCGCCCCTCTGAGCTCAAGCTTTGTTCCCACTTCACGCTACGAAACAAATGCGTAGGGCTGGTCGAAACATGCATCCCAATCTGTAGCATCTCCGTCCCAGAAGGTGCGCATAACATTCTTAGCGTGCAGAGGCAATGGTGTGGCGATGTCCTTGGCTTGCTCCAAGTAAAGCTCTGCAACAAGCCGACGCTTATCTACCCGAACCGAGGCTTCGATGCCAGCGACGACCAAAGGCCATTGGACGGATTTCTTCAGTTGGGGATGATTTCTTGTCTCCTCCATGAGAGAATAGAGGCGGTTTCCATGCATGGTTCTCAGCATTGTCAGTCGATGGACTCTGGGTAGGGCTCCAACGCTCTGCAGCGATGAAATGCAGAAGACAGCCACTGCAGAGTGAAATATTGCAGCGATGAGATCACGGTGGTCCCTGTCTTCGTAGAAGGAGTCACAGTCCGTCCCATCAAAGCTCTCGATCCTTGCAACAATGTCCTCCGCAACTGCATTCGCTGTTGACTTGTCCAAAAGCTTCCTGGAGACCTCAGCTCTTAGATGGTTGATTCGGGAAATTTCCAAAAATAGAGGCATCGGACAAGGAATGTGTGGGTGCAATCCTAGTGGATATAACTCCTGGATCAAGTCAATGAACTCTTGTTGATCACAAATTGTAACTTGGTTGTCAGGTGGACTCGTTGTATTCGCCGAGGTCATCACACTGTGCCATTATCGAGTTTAGCCTCAAGGCTTTTGGTCTACCCGCAGGATCTAGACTTACATCATAAAAGACAGGAGCAAGCCTTGGCGATATGGCTCCGACATGGCCCATCCCCGGGCACCGCCTCGACATGCGAGAATAGCCAGGAGACCGTCTACGTGTTGTCGCCACTGAGGAGTTATGCATGCGTTGATCTATTGGTGTTGGGTCAGCAATCATTGTAGACAAAGATGCATCACTGTTGACTTCGACTGACCTCAGATTGGAGAAGTAGGATAACCCCTGTCAATACAACATCGCTACTTTGCGTCTTCGGATTGGCGAGATCTTCGTTGATAGCCCGTATTGACAGGCCTCGATGATGGTGCATCCGGTGTTGGGCATACAATATGGAAGGACAATCATTCTTCCATTCTTTCTGCACATGCATGCGATGATGGTACACGATGCCGACCAAGTTGTGCGCAATCGAGATCGGCAGATATTTGACGACCTTGAGGGGAATTTCGGCGATGAACACATTGCTGGTTGGCGGATGGCCTGACTTCGTGTATGGGTAGAACACGTCGTTGACTGAATAATTACTATGTTAGAGATTTTCGATAAATCCGGGTAACAACTAAATCTGCTGTCGAGTTCTGTAGGCTGCAACTCACAATACTGGACGGCTTCAAATACGTCGCAAATGTCTGTCCTCAGAGCTGAGTGAAAGATGAGCTCTCCGCCATGTTTAATCCTGCCTCTAGTCAAGGCTTCGGTGTCTTCGATTTCTCCTCGGCCATTCAGCTTTGGCTTTATCTTCATGTTCTTCTTCGTAGCTGTCTCTTTGTCTACCACGCGCCCTTTGCGTCGAGTACGACAGGTGACTTTCCCAGGTGCGAGCCAAGTCAGTGGCTTTCTGTCGTCGTAGCCAGGGCAAACGATGCCGGAAGCACGACACTTGTTACAGACTGGCTTGACAGAGTCGCAAACAAGTCGACGACGCTGACATTCCCAGCAACGTCGTTTCTCTGGGATCTCTGGGGATAATGATGGCTGAGGCGCCGGTAACATTGTGTTGCGAGGCGTGGATCAGGTCCGAAAAGGTGCAGTTCAGCCCTACCCGAGTGACAGGTTAATATGCACCAGCGTTACCAGATTGAGTAAGAAGAAGTCTATGGGACGAAGGGGTCGAGGGTTTGATTGCCGAGGGTGCTCTCAACTCAGGCCAGATCCGCATAGGCTTGGATATCTTAAGTATCCTAGGCTCCGGGTGCGCGGGTTGCCTTGCTTGAGCCCTCGTGTAGAACACCAAGTAAGACGACTCGCTTGGCAAAAAGTCTTGGCCAGAGTATTTTCCTATTTGGGTAAAGACTGCCATGCTGTGCTTCGCCTTGGGGGCAACAGGTACAACCGCCGATCAACATCCCCTCAGCCCTAGAGGACTCAACGTTGTAGTCAATGCGGGAGGGATGATAGATGTGTGGGGGCTTATGGTATCGCAAACCGACAAATCACTGGGCATCACGGGCGCCTGCTCATGTCTCAAGGATGATATCATTGTCTTTCTTCGCCCTTGAGTCGGCCCGCCGGCGGGTAGTTAGGCAGAAGCAATCCACAGACCTAGGTACTGCATCGGTTCTCGTGGCGGGGACTGGGTTGTAGAGAGAAGAAAAGGACCCCTGTTCTCAGCTTGCTGCTCCCACTCTCAACCCAAGCGGTGGGCGGCTACTCTTGAATATGGCCAATTGACCTCGGTCGAACTAAACACTAGTGAGCTCTTGATATGATCAGAAAACAATTTGCCACATATGAATCAAATAAGCCGCAGACAACAAGCAAGTGTCGAAATGCACTGGAAGTTAGCCCTGATACTCAGGGGGCGATGGCAAGATCAACAGGCTAAGCACCCGCGCGCCATGTAGACTGCGCCTGACGCCGGCCGTCCCGGAACTTCCACACCTCGACAACGCCTAATCATGGAAGATGAGGAATCCGATCGAAGCTCGTTTGCCTGCAAGCCACTCTCCAAGCGTGGGCACGAACATGCTTACCTTGGCGGTTGTGAGCTATGCGATTGTCAGCGAATGGCTCTCTTGGCACCGCGCGAGAGTGGGCCGCCAATGGCGGCAATTAATTGACATCGCTTGATGGGTTCGAGATGTTTGCCCCAAGGTCTTGGGCATGGACATGGGAAGGATGCCATTGAGATGATTGCCCTGGGTTCTAACTCTTGTTGATATGGCAGAGGTAAAAAATGACCGACCGACGCTTTTCCAATCCTCATCGTCTCGATTTCTTTACGAAGGTAAAAGGGTAGGCAGCAGTTCCTCGGTCGCGTGGACGAGCTTGAGAGCCGGACGGCAGTCCAAAAGCAATCTCACTTGGTTTCGGGTTCATAACTCGTGTATCTATCACTGATAGCCAATTTGTTCCTTGCTTCTTCGAATGATTGCTACTTGCTGGGAATTTCGTTTGGCTTTGCCTATCAAGCAAGCATCTCTGGAGCAAACATCACTAAACTGGGCAAGTCTCCGCGATGCTTTGCGGGGTATTACGAGAACGCGGGGCATTGTAGGTTGCAAGAGCTCCATTGCCATCTTGTTAAATATCGTCAAGCACAAACGATTTTGATCTGAGATGGTCAGAAACTTCGTTCCTCTGTTGCTCATCTCAACTCATAACTTCTTTGTCATCTAATATCACCTCAAACGCAAGCTCCACGTTAGCCCTGCATCACCTGAAGTACCAATCTAGCCAACGACCTCTTCAACCTTGTTCGACACAGAAGGATGAGCGCCGGTCGTGTTATCAACGTGGTTGGATGCCACGCGGAGGGTGAAGTCGGCGATGTTATCACCGGCGGTGTTCTAGATGTGCCGGCCCCGAGCATGTGGCACAAACTACAACACTTTTTGACGCATAAAGACGAGCTGCGTCAGCTACTACTGAATGAGCCAAGAGGAAGATCGCCAAAGAATACGAACTTGATCCTCCCGCCATGCAACCCCGAAGCCGCTGCAGGATTCTTGATTATGGAAAGTGAAGAATATGCGCCAATGTCCGGATCCAACACCATTTGCACGGCAACGGTACTCTTACAGACAGGGATGATTCCCATGCAAGAGCCAATCACCAAGTTTTCTCTAGATACGGCGGCTGGTCTGGTCGGCGTGACTGCGGAGTGCCAAGGTGGTAAATGCAAATCCGTGGCTTTTGAAAATGTGCCCGCCTTCGTGGACCGGTTCGATCTGCAGGTTGACGTCCCGGGGATCGGGACCGTCTCCGCCGACATTGTCTGGGGCGGGATGTGGTACGCTATCGTGGATGCGGCATCTGTCGGGATGACCATCCAGCCGAGCAAGGGCGCGAAGCTTGTGGAGCTTGGCGAAAGGATCAAGTCAGCATTGAAAGCTGCCTACACGCCTCATCATCCGGAGAACCCAGAAATCAAGGGCATCTCGGTTCTGGAATTCACAGAGCCGCTTCACCAAGATACCATTGGGAAGGTCGCCAAGAACACTGTGGTTGTGTCTCCCGGGCGTCTTGATCGCAGCCCTTGTGGCACCGGCACCAGCGCGCGAATGGCTCTGTTGCATGCCAAGGGCCAGCTGGCGGTTGGAGAATACTTCAAGCACACTAGCGTCATTGACACAGCCTTCGAGTGCCGCATTTCTCGGACTGTCAAAGTCGGAGATATTGATGCTGTTGTACCAATCATCAAGGGCAGAGCATGGATCACTAGTTACAAGCAGGTCGTCTTGGATCCAGAAGACCCCTTTCCTACCGGATTCAGAGTGGGGGACCAATGGCATGTCCCTGATATCGAGTCCTAGTCAGCGACGAGCCACTAAGGCGGAAACATCTAGATGTTGGAGGTTAGCCATAGACAGAGAAATAAAGGGACACCTGCCGTACTTGGCCGGAACACCATATTGGAGCCCTGCGACTCGGTGCCCCGTTCGTGTTGTTGGCTTCTTATTCCGGCCCCGCCCCCGGTGGGATACTGCCACACAATAATTGCAGTGGAAGAGGTCGAGACTGAGAGCTCGTGGCCCGAGATTGTCGACTAAGGTAGTCTGTGGATTTATCAACAAGAAATAGACAAGAGACAATACGAGCTACGTTGATTTTGTACTAGTTAATCGCGCCACGGTCTCTTCAAAAGTTTGAGATCCCGAACCGAATGGCGCTTTCAATGATTCCCAGCCGAACCGAACAGAAATTGCGGGGGAATTAAGACTACCTCGCACCCTAACCCCCCACTCCGGGGAACGGGGTGGCCCATGTCTACCCCGGATTTCCATTCGGGTCAACATCTTCAACGATGGCCAAGATGTTCAAATAACAAGGCTATCAGCCGCGATGTATTCGCAGGAATTATGTCTTCCATCCCCAACCATCACCATCAAGACAACATTGGGTGCATCAAATTTCCCTGCAGTTGCGACGGTTGCTCGCAGTCGTAACCCGCAGGTGTCTTCTTCTTCACCAACACCTCAGATCACCTAAACAATCTTCAACACCCTTGTCCTCCATCAGCCTTCAAGATGTCTTCATCTCTGGTTCCCGGAAGCAGTGGCGACGCGAAACACAACAGTCAAATTGAACATCTCGAAGACCTCAGCAAGCCGGGCTTGCAAGACAAACACGATGGCCATGTCGAAGGCAACGCACTTCTCATCAACCGAGATGGAGAGGTTCGCAAGATTCCAGTTCCGTCTTCGGATCCCAACGATCCCCTCCGCTTCAGACCTTGGGAGAAGTACGGCATCGTCTTCTGCTGCTGCTGGTTCTCTAGTATGGGTTTGTCGATTGCCAGTGGTCTAGGTGCAATTTTGCATGAATTCTTTGCGATGTATGGCCCTCAAGGCTATTCTTCCGAAGACATTGTTCTTCTGATCACTATTCCAACCTTGTGCATTGGTCTCGGTAAGATCCATCTTGACTCAAAAGACTGCCCTTAAAGATTGAATAGTGAACTAACGAAGACATCACGATTAGGCAACTACATCATCCTTCCTCTTGCTCTTGCATACGGTCGACGCCCAGTATTTTTAGGATTCATGGTCATCCTTCTGATAGCGACAATTGCTGCCGCTTTGCAAAATAGCTATAACGGGCATCTTGCTGCCCGAGTGGTTCAAGGCTTGGCTACGGGTGCCTCAGAGTCTCTTCTCCCGTTGATGCTCACTGAAGTTACCTTTCTGCACGAGCGTTCCAAGATCTTTGGTCTTTACTGGATGGCACAAAATGCGATATCCTCTACTATCAACTTGACCTCGTCATACTTGAACCATGACCTGGGATGGCGCTGGTATTACTGGGTCTTCGTTATCACTGTTGCCGTCGGACTGATCATTGCGTTTTTTTTCGCCTTCGAGACACAGTTCACCCGTCAGCCCGAATCGCTCGATGGACAAGTTGTCATCACGGACGAGTTTGGAGTCACGCGTGTCATCCCAGACTCCGAAGCTCAGGCCTACCTCGAGGAGATGAATCGATCTGGACTCACGGCTCCGGGCGCCAATCAGGCAGCCGAGTCTATTGAGAGAAAGTCGTATCTACAGCGCATCAGACCTTGGTCGACACCGCATCCCCAACCAATGCGGGTAATGGTCTTGAGCTGGAAGCACATGGCGGAATCGTTCTCGTCCCCGGGAATCATTTATGCGGTGTTGACGTCTTCCATTGCCCTTGGCTGCGGTGTTGGCATGTCACTGACCTACAACACTGTTCTGGTGACGAACTATCAGTGGAAGTCGGAAGACGTTGGGTTGATCAACGTTGGCGGCGTCATTGGCGCCGTTCTCGGTATGTTGTTTTGTACATTTGTCGGCAATCCCTTGGTCATGTACCTCGCCCGGCGGAATCGAGGCGTTCACATCCCGGAACACCACCTGGTCGTCTTGGCTTTACCCGCCGTCGTCGGTGTGGGAATGCTATTACTGTATGGCTACACCGCATCAGGAGGGTACACGTGGTGGGGTCCGTACATCGGCTGGACCATCTTCCAGTATTCCTTTACCTCTGTTCTTATCATTTCCACTAGCTTCGCATCTGAAGCCGCGCCCAAACATCCCGGGCCGGCACTGGTCGTGGTTGTGGGAACTAAGAACGTGGTCTCGTTCGGTGTGACCTATGGGTTGACTCCTATGGTTGAGAAATGGGGATATCAAACAGCCTTTGGTGTGTTGGCTGGTATCTTTGGCTTCATCTTCCTACTCGGAGTGCCTGTCTATCTCCTCAATCCGAGGTGGCGTGCTTATATGTCGGAAAGAGAGAGCAGATCGACCAGAGCCTAGGACTAGGTCGTCACTCACCACTATCCACGACTTAGAGTGTACATCAGCTACGTTATTAAGAGGTCCACGATTCCAGCACGGCATAGCCAGATTTAGTAGACAATGTACTTCCCAATGATGGATAAGATTGAGAGACTCATGTCATTTGTTTGCAAGACTAATGTCCAGACCATGTACTCATATTCTCACACATTGACGCTGGCCATGGAGTCGCGCTCGACGGAACCTGGCCATTCTCGGCCATGACCTTGCGCCCAAGTCGTACCCGTGTAAGTAGGATAGACCTGTTGAGTGAGGGAGTGCAGCGACCCGACAGGACATCTTTGCTTTATGTCGGTTCAGGTCAAAATGAAATATGCAACCAATACACTGGTCTCCAATTGAACGAAGAGTCAACCATAAGGTTGATCAAGTTCTTTCATCTGGGTTGCTGCACGCAACCCAACATTCCCGGTCCGCTATCGCCCTAGACAATCTCGGTTCGGCTTGGTTCTTCACACCGCGACAGCCTTTCCCGAGCCGCGAGACCCACTGCGCTTCATCAAGTACTTACTACGTGCCTTAGGGAACATCGGCCGAAGCGTGACGGATTGCAAAGGGGAAGGAGCCTCCCTTATGTTTGCGAGTCTTCTTCTGTTGGTCCGCAGTCTAAAGGTGCATTTTCTTTACTGTCTCCATGATGAGTCGTAGGTGAGGGTGACCGACCCGCACAGTATCCTACACTTGGCAAGGAATGGAGGCCCCAGCCGGCCCTCGGAACGAATGCTTCCAGCTTACCTAGATATTTATAAAACAGATAATGTCAAAGGATCACAATGATGGAACCTTACCGCTTATTGTAAGTTTTAACCAGTTTCGGCGAGCGCAGCGAGACACGTTGAGTGAGGGGTGAAATGAGATTCATGAGATGAGATTCATTCCATTGTGAATGAACAAAGGTGGGTCTCAACAAATCAGTCACATGACCCACGCGATGCGGCCTCCTGCGGAGAACGCGTCGACGCGTTTCAATCGTAATTGCCTGGCAAGTCCAGCACGCATAGGTACTTTCCCAATCGGGACGTCATTGATTCCGACCTCAATCATCCTCCGCCAAGGGATTCCACGGTCTGTTCATTCTGCCTTATTTATACGAACCATCGATTCCATTGTAGCCTGCATTGTCGCCGACGATGGATGACGACTTCGGCTTCGACTCGGCCGATGAAGCCGATCTACTCGCTGTAGTGGACGCTGCTCCATCTGCAGTCAAGCGACCTAATGAGGATACGGATCAAAGTGAAGAACCAGGACCGAAACGACAGAGAGGTTCTTCCGATCACTCGCTTCTGGCCCGCAGAGTCTTGCGCGAACGATTCGGCCTGGAAAGCTTTCGTCTGGAGCAGGAAGCAGCAATCAATCGCATCATCGGTGGCGACAGCGCTGTTGTAGTATTTCCTACTGGCGGAGGCAAGAGTCTGTGCTACCAGGTATGGAGGCTCTGCTGAGAATAATCACTTATGTCTGATATGGAAAGGTCCCCGCCGTGGCTATAAAAGAGCTCGACAAGGAAACAGGATCGCGCAGCCCAGAAGAAAGTGGTGTCACGGTCGTCATTTCTCCCCTCATAGCACTGATGAAGGACCAAGTTGATGCCCTGAGACGCCGAGGCATCGCTGCAGCCGTTCTAGATTCGACGCAAAGCCGCGAAGAGTTCGTCGATATTCATAGCAAGCTGGCGTGTGGCAAACTCGATCTCCTATACTGCGCACCAGAGCGGCTCAACAACGAGGGCTTTCTTGCGTCCCTTAAGTCGATCCGTGGTGGCATTCGCTTATTAGCGATTGACGAAGCCCATTGCATTTCAGAAGTATGTCTCAAATTGTCACAAACCCACTATTACTTGATACGAATTCCATTCTGACAGAATCGCAGTGGGGACACTCCTTCCGCCCAGACTACCTCAAAAGTCGGTTTCTAATGCGGCCATTGTTTCTGCTTTGACTGACGATAGCTCTTAGTTGCTCGTTTTGCGAAGGAAGCCAATGTGGACAGAGTCATCTGTCTCACAGCGACCGCGACAGCAGCCGTTGCTAAAGACATTCGAACTACTTTCGACATCCCGCCCGAGGGTCTTTTCGTTACAAGCATGTACCGACCAAAGTCAGTCAGGCGATGACAATACCTATCTTACTTAGCATAATGCTCACATCTCCAAGTCTCCGATTATTGGTCGAGCCTATCACTACAGATGACGACCAAGTCGAGATATGCACTAAATTCTTGAAGAAACACCCCGGCCCATCCATTATATACGTCACAACCCATGCGGTAAGATTCTACTCATCTCCCAACGGAGAACTTACTAACCTTGATATGAACAGGCTGCAGAAACTCTAGCCAATGAACTGTCAAAAAAGAAGTTCAATGCTCGCGCATATCATGGAGGATTAAACGCAGACGTACGGGGCGGAATACAAGACACGTTTCTCAAGAGTCAAAACATGATCGTGAGTTGGCCTGACAGCTTCCCCAGGAGGGAGTTCTGACATGTACATCTACTGTTAGATTGTTGGCACAATTGCATTTGGCATGGGTATCGACAAGGAGAATGTACGGACCATCATCCATTTCGATCTTCCAGGCAGTCTCGAGGCCTATAGCCAACAGATTGGGAGGGCTGGACGAGACGGCAAACCAAGCACGTGCATGCTCTATCTTTCGGATAAAGATTTCTTTGTCAGAAACGTCTTCATCCATGGCGAACGACCATCCATGCTGGCTCTACGCGCACTGTTTGAGGAGATCTGCAGCAAGGAGAACTGCCAGCTGAAGCCCGGAGACCCCTTCTCCGTGGCTATCGCATCGCAATCGCGGAGGGTAGACATTAGGGTTTGTCGAATCGATTTTCCTTGACGTGAGTCGGCATTTATCTCAACTAATGGTGGACAGGAGACCCAACTTTCCATCATCTACGCCTACCTAGAATTGAAGTTCGGACTTCTCCGGGCTAGCACTCCTCAGTACTCCGAATACAAATATCAGGTGCTGCAGAACGGCGCTCTTGAGACTGACGGCTCACCAGCATCGAAGTACATCTTGTCCCACTCCAGAAAAGCGCAAACCTGGACAAACATCGATGTTGACGTTCCTGCTGGGAACGGCGGAGTAAGCCGCGCTGATATTACGCGGAAATTAGACTCGTGGGCCGAGTCCGGCATCATCAAGCTCAGCAAGACCGGTGTCCAAAAAGTCTTCCGCGTCAGCAAGAAACTCCCAAGTCAGCAGGCCGATATTGACGAAATCATCGACAACATAGACAAGGAAATTGTGAAGAAGGAGAAGCAGGATTTGCAGCGCGTTCAAGACCTGGTCAACCTGCTGACAGACAAAAGCTGCCTTACTCGTGGGCTCGCAACTTACTTTGCCGATACGACTCACTCTTCAGTCAAGGAATGTGGCCACTGCACATGGTGTGAAACACATCAGCAAGTTAGGCTACCGGGATTTACCCCCAAACCTTTAGATGAAAAGGCCATGAGAAGGGTATTGGCCGTATGCAAAGAAGCCTGTCAACAAGAGGCGAGTAAGGCCAAAGGTGGTAAACCGAAGACCACAGCACTTCAGACGAGGCAGGCTCTGGCCAACAGCACAGCCAAAGACGATGCCCGATTCATGGCATGCGTGGCTTTCGGTATCCGGACACCTCGGGTCAGTAGCATGAGCCTGCACAACAACAAGGCCGTGTTTGAGACAATGAGCACCTGTAACTTCAACGTAAGTACATTTGGGGAAGCCAAGATGACATTTTCCGTGTGAGCATTGAACTGACCTTGGATTAGGAGCTCGTCCAGAAATTCGAAGACATGATGAAATGAAAGAAGTAATAGACTTCTGAGGTCTCAATCAAAGGTTTCACTATCAGACAAACGCTGAGTACAGCTGGAGGCTCACAAAGCAGCGGCAATATGCTGAATTTACGGCGAATTGCCGAGCTATGTGAAGTACCTTATGTATCGATACCTTAATTTGACTGCGAGGCCCTGGCCAATACTCAACTAGAATGCTTTATCGTGTATCCTAAAGGCATCTATCGTTCTGAACTTCAATCTTAAACGACTATGGGGTGATTGGTAGATCAAGAACTGAAAACCAAGTATAGAAACTGGAGTAAACTCGCTGTCATTGATATTGGTATTATCAAAGAAAGCCTTCAATGTTGTGGATTCAAAGGAAATCAAGTCTTTGATCTGAATTTATCAAGGCATCAAGTACATCCAGTCGACTGCCTCTGCCAAGTACTCTTTCTCGATGGAATCCTCATCTCGTCCATCAAAATCGAGTTTTTCTTCTCCTTCCTTTTCCTCCCAAGTATCACAAATAAACACTTGCAAGTTACGATGTTTGCCCGTCTTCTTGAGTCTCCGAAGGTGCTCCTCCAACCAACAATGATCTGCAAGATGGTTATGGTGGTGGTCTCGTGCTTGTACGATACGCAGCTTCCGTAAAGATTTTGGGAGCTGTCGTAGAATGTTTTCCTTCCGCGTGCCGGCGTCCTGTAACTGCGTCGTGAAGGTTTCCAGATTACAGAGCTTGTGTAGAAGCAGACTCGCTGTTTCTCCAGTCGATCGATCGGGGAACCGGACGCTCAGAGCTTTAAGTGTCTCTTTGTGTTCGGTCAACGCGTCGATCATATCCACCATCTGACTTACACTCGACACACATCTGTCAAGTCCGAAATGACATAAGTGCTTTGGCTTCGAGATAATTTCCATGATGAACGGCTGCATGTTTAAACTCGACCAGATGGAGATATCGGTGAGCTTTTCCCAAGTTTGCGACTCGTCAAACCAGGCGTCGTCGAAATGTTGGATCTTGAGAGATCTTAGTTTTGGGGCATTTTTTGAGATAGCTTTGACAAGCTCCATGGGAAATCGGCCTACGCGAGGTGTGCATTTGATGTGTAGGGTTTCCAAGTTTGGAAAGACGTCATCTTCCATCAGGAGAAGTTTGTTCGAGACATCATGGTTTCGGTGATCTTCACTCAAGATGTACTCAATCTCAAGTTCTCTCAACGATTTGGCCATGAGAGGAACCATTATGGCAAGTATGTTGATATGGCCGCCACCATTCCAATCTTTTGGGTTAACTGAGAGCCCCATTTTACTGAGTGTCCCTTCAATAAACGGAACTTCGTCATCTGACAATCTCATCTCTTGCTGCCGAGGAGATAGCTCTGGAGCGTGGATAGGAATGCACACACGTCGTACATGTTGTGTACAATATGGGCGGGAGTCCCAACCTCTAATAAGAGATATCAGGTGGCTGTGTCCGGGTTTCACCAGCCAGACGTAGCTGAATAGATTTCGCCTGACCAGCTGTCGAAAAGCTCGACATGTTCGACTAATTGCCTCCAAGTCTGACAGCTTGCTCTTGAAACTGGCGTCTACCCAGTACAGGTGCGAATACGATGGCGCAGTCGAAAGCTGGTCAAAAATATGCTGGATAACCTCCGGCGGTAATTTGGCAATCCCCACCATCGCCTTTTTGATAAAGGAATTTTCCCGTAGATGCATAAAATGCTGCGTGGAACTTAGTTATGCTGTGAAGTGCAGTAAGTGTTGGAGGTAAAAGAGTTGGTGAACGTACTTTATTCAGAGGAGCTGTTTTTCAAAGATTTTCTCTTTCATGACCCATCTATGGCGTGTATTTCAGAAAACTTTGTTATGCGGACCAACCGTATTAATATGGATTTGGTACAAGTCACGTAGCTGTTTCTGTCAAATCAGTAACCTGTGTAGTCTTCTGGTCTTCAAGGTCCGCGAATCTAGGGTATCCATCAGTCTTAATAGTACATGCCGACACGTATTACTGGCATTCCAAGTTTAGCATCCGAGCTTCGAACTATCAACTACGTCAAGATCTTCTGGTCTCTGTAGCCAGCTCACATCTGCATCGTAGATCTACTTTTAGAAGTTCGTTACAGGACCGCACATTCAAACCGCGCCAAAACAGGAACGTGCTACCATCGTCGGTGGATGCTCTGCCGCAGCCACTTTTGTGAACCTGCGGAATTACGGAAGGAAGCTCTCAGACTTTTATTCGCATTAAACGTTGCACGCCAATCAGGCTAGGGATTTGGCCTTTCTTGGGCACCATGAAACCATTCTCCGAGATCGTTGACTGTAACTGCGGGGTATGTGTCGTATTAAGCAATGGTTCTGGCTGGTGGCAGATCCCTTTCTCAGTACATCGATCTCAGTTCCATCCCCACATGTCCATGGCAGCTATCTTCCAGTATGATCCATTTTCGCATTCCGATACTGTCGTGGATTGTAACTTGTCCCAAGCAAGGACATTGGGCCACAGTGGCACATGTTTTGACGGTGAAGGTCTTCAGAATAGTTCCTATTCCATCACCTCAGTCTCCTCGGCCTCCTCCACGTCCCTCTTTCCGCCCTTCTTACCACCCTTGCCTCCGTTGAGCGCCTATAGTCTCCTGTCAGCATTGATTCCTGTTCAAAGAGTCGACGTTCACACTCACGGCCTGCTTGTTCTTCTTGTTCTGTTGCTCACCGGCCTTGAACTCGCCAGAGAGCTTCTTGAGAGTAGCCTGGTCTTGCTTAGAGTTGTTGCCCTTCAGGCCCTTGGCCTGCTTTGACTCTTTGGCCTGTGCACCTTGAACCTAGAGATGATCAATTAGATCTAGGTCGCTCGAGATGACACTGATAAACCCATTTACCATACCTTCTTGAGACCGTCATTCAACTGCTTGTTCTTGGGATCCGCGTTCTTCTGGTTCTTCTCGCGTTGCTTCTGTCCCTTGGCGATGTCCTTATTGAGCTGGCCCGACTGCTTCTTGAAGTCCTTGGTGCCCTCGGCCTTTTGGACCTTCTTGACGTCCTTTTGCTCTTGCTTTTGAATATTAATGTTCTTGTCGATGCCAGCGGCCTCCTTCTTTCTTCCTGCCGCGCTACCCTTTTTAGATGCACTCTGCGCTCGCTCAACAAGTGCGTCTACCGGTGCCGGCACGGGCAGAGCAACAACGAAGGTGAAGAGGAGGAAGAGGGAGAGGATGAGCTGAGGGACGCGCATTTTGGCGGTTTGGTAGTATTAATGATTGATTTGAATAAGGTATTAAGGGTCGATGCCGTCAAGACTGTGACTCGATGAACTGAGATGAGAATGAGATGGTGGACAGTAATATGGTTTGTGATGGCATTTTCGAGCAGTTTATATACGCTCAGGTTTGGACCCAACGGTCAATGGAAGAGCTTGTTGCGAGTCATCATCCCATTTCCTGAGTATTTGCGCTTCGTCCGCGGGATGTCGACGGATCTAACCACCATACATTGACAACGTTCTTCTGCCCGAAGTCGTGATGCTTTCGTGATCGTTTCGCCCTGCGGTAGAGGAAGCTTTTCTTGTGTCGCATACGAGTGCAATTACGCCCGCGAATCATCTGAAGTCAAACGACTGTTGACAAGTGACAAGCTTTTGGGTGGAGTCGAAACGAAGAAAGTTTAGCCGCACAAGTGTTTTGGGCTGAACCTAGATGCCAAGACCTTTTACACCATTTTGAATTCTCGGGTCACATTCCACAATAGATGCCAAGACAGATCGGACTCGACTGTGAGTAGTGTTTAAGCGCGAAAATGGTCAGATTAGACGCGGAAACGGAAGGGGAAGGAAATGGGAAGAACGATCACGGTTCTTACACCGAGTGCTTGGAGAGACGATACATGTATGTTCTATGTCTTGCTCCTTAGAACGAACACGTCGTATTTTGAGACTATCCCACAGTCATTGCAACAGCATCTAGAACCTCTCATTGTCTTCGAGCCAAACCTGGAAAACTACCGCTTCGGGTAAATTTGAGAGAGTCAGAATGCGCGCAAGACGAGGGATGCATGAAGCTGGAACCACTCCAGCCCTGCTGCGGAAGACTCCTGCGTCTCAAGTACACACACCCATCGGATGATCATCCAATTAGTATAAACTCTACGAAAGTGTAAGAAAATGGCAAAACGATGTGTCTCTTGTCTTGTCCGCCTCATTCACCGTGTCACTGCAGGTAGATCTAAGCCCGTGCACGTGTTTTCCATCTAGAAAACAGTCTTCGCTTCGCGGAGATTACAAGAGCCAAAGACGAGTGAATCTGAGGCCATACACTTGCATAAAAGAGGAGAAAGCTTGTCAAGCTTGCGGCAGCCTACTATCACGATGCTTGGCTTCCCGACTTATTGGGCGCGGGCAGCGGGGCCGGCCTCCGCCTTTTGTCCGCACTACCACTTCCCCGCGCTAGGTGGAACAAAAGAAAGTTTAAGCTCTCTTGACATGCGGTAACTTGCTCGAAACTCCTGACTAGCGCCGGAATACTTAAGCTTCTTTTTCATCTTTGTTTTAGCACCGTTGGAGGCTTAAAGTTAGCTAATGACTTGTTCAACAAAACATCCTGATGGAGAAACGAATGATTAGAGTGAAGATAAAGTCCGACAGTCAATTTTGGGGTTGGATCGCTAGGGAACCCCTGCGTCGATCATGGATCATCGTCTGAAGACCATTTCCTTAGATGATTTACAATATGATCTTCGTCGTCCAAAAAGTACTGCCAAGAAGTACATCGCCAAGAGCTGCCTTTAGTATGGCATAGCTAAAGAACACTGTCTGAGCGGCTGTCACCATCACGCATCACAGACACCGCATAATCAATGCTCACATCGCAGATAGCAGTCAAAGTGCATTGGGGATCTATCAAGTTCTCTACCATAGCTTGTCCGTAGAAGCCTTGCTGATGGGCCATCGGCCTTATCCTCAGCTCTGGGCCATCCCAAACGCATGCTCAGAGAAGGTTAGATTTAGGGCAGACCCGGCACTAGCAAGAGCTTATCAACGACGTTTGAGTCTCAGGACATCGGCACACCGACTTGCCGCGGCTGTTCAACGCTTAATACTATGAAAGCGACGAGGCGAGCAGAATTTGAGGCTTACACACGGATCACCCTACCGCTTTCGGCTTGACGCGTGGTCGGAAACCCGGCAAGCTGGTCGTCCAACCCACTGAGCCCAGACCAAGTCGATCATATGCCGGCTGTACCTACCTATCGGTAGATATTCTGCGGAGATCGCCTCCGGTGGGATGGTGTGGGCCAACACATCACCAAACTGAGACACGTTGTGCCTCGCCGACTCAGGCAACCTTACGGAAGATTCCGTCCAGACTCGGTGCTTCGTTGCCGTTTCCGCAGGCCCATGACAAACCTGCTCATTCCCCTCGCGGTCATCACTTGAGTCACTGAAGACAACTTAGCTTGAAACGTCACTGTGGTCACCAGGATGAACTAGCTAGCCCAGCAGGAGATAACAATAATTCTTTTATGGTCAAACGTGGCCAATTCGGACATAGAGGTTTACCGACTTCAGAAGACGATGCCCATATTACATAGTAAATGATAACAAACCCCCCTTTCCGTCAACACATGCAGATACGGCATCACAACAATGACTGATGCAGCCATCGTGAGACTGACAGGCCAAAGGCAAGTGGAGGAGCGTATGGCAATTTGGAAGTGTAGCGCGAGACAGCGTTAGATGTTGCGCGGAATTTCTAGGCATGGCTTCATGTCCACATCGCCGAGCTCCATCATGGCATGTCATAACAAAAGTGGCCAATAGGCTGCAGAATAATTATGTAAGATATCAATGACACTCATGGTGAGTTGTGGCGATACTGCAACAATGCCCGTCATATGCCGTCGATGCATGTTTTGAGAATTAAAGCAGCTGCTATGCCAAGTCCCTTGTTGAGTTCATCTCCCCAGTCCTTCAGCGTGGGAGTGAGGGGCTGCATTTGTGCGAGGGGCTAGCTGGGGAGACTTCGCTGGCACTGATACTATGTCAATGTTACGTGGGCGAATTTCGTTCAAGGCAGGTGCTCCAAGTCAGCTTTATTATCTTCCAGTGTCTTTTAAAACTGAAGCTTAGTCTGAAGTTCTTTCCAGCCATTTGCACCAAGAGTCTGTTCCTTGCTTTACTCTTTGAGATGATACCTTCAGCCAACGGGGGCTTGTTCGGCTCGGTTCGGCCCCACCATTGTTCTCTTTGCAACTGCAACCTGGGGAAGGGCCGGGATATCCGCGTCTCGGAAAGTCCGCCTTGGATTATGGCGGGGAAGTGGGAACGCGGGGCACGTAAACGAGAGAATCTACAAATCAATGTTACGCAAGCTCTTAGCACAAACCGGGGTGGAATCAAATTGTTTGGGAGATAAAGCAGGCGGCAGCTGCATGTTTATAGAATCTTTCGCCATCAAAGTGACAGGAAGCTTTCTTCAGCCTTGAATATGCAGTTTCTGCGTTTCATATCCTTCGTTTCATGCCCGTTGGGTGTCCTAGGCTCTCTGGCAAATACGTCTTACACCAATCCAATCATTCCAGGATGGCACTCGGACCCTAGTTGTGCTTTTGTCCCTGAGTGGAATGAGACTTTATTCTGCACGACGTCGTCATTCATCACCTTCCCAGGAAATCCAGTCTATGCCAGCAAAGATCTTATCAACTGGAAACTGGCAAGCAATGCAGTCAACCGAGTGTCCCAGTTCCCTCTGATTCGAAATGGAAGCCAAGGTGAAGACCTTGGCATGTTTGCAAGCACTCTTCGTTACAACAATGGCACGTTCTACTTGATCTCAACTTGGGTCAGTGCCCAGCTCGGAGGACCAAAGTTTGTCATCTTCACTACAAAGGACCCATTTGACGACCTGTCATGGTCCGATGCGATATGGCCAGAAACACCAGGCGACACGATTGATCCAGACATCTTCTTCGACGATGACGGCTCTGTTATTGTTGCTTCTTCCGGAACACCTATCAAAGCAGCTTACCTTGATCTCTCCACCGGCAACACTAGTGAGCCTTGGGACCTTTGGAATGGCACTGGAGGCGCAAATGCCGAAGGCCCCCATGTCTACAAGAAAGATGGATACTACTACCTTTTGATTGCTGAAGGTGGCACACAACTAAATCATTCGGCGACTATTGCACGATCTCAGAGCATCAAAGGACCTTGGGAAGCGGCACCTCAGAACCCTCTTGTTTCCAATAGAGGCACAAAGGAATACTTTCAAACTGTTGGCCATGCTGATCTCTTCCAAGACTCGGCTGAAAACTGGTGGGGTGTTGCTTTGTCTACTCGCGGAGGACCGGATCTTTACAACAGTCTGAACTATCCCATGGGCAGAGAGACTGTTCTTTTCCCAGTCTCTTGGCCGGTAGGAGGCTGGCCTATCGCAAAAAAAGTTCGTGGAAACATGAGCGGGCCGTTACCCAGCAAGTCCCTTGTCCAACGAGGGGTTGGACCTCTTGTTGGGGAAGCAGATGTAGAAGATTTCAAGCCGGGATCCACCGTTCCGCCGCATTGGGTCTATTGGAGAGCTCCTTTTGATGCCTCATACTTTACTATCTCTCCCCACGGTCACGAAGATACTCTTCAGATGACTGCCTCTCGCGCTAATCTCACAAGAGATATTGTCTTCAACGTCACCACTGAGGGTGTCACATCTATTTTCCGACGGCAGGAACACACTTTTTTCAACTTTACCGTTGATATCGAGTTAGGTTTTGGAAAGTCTGTCGGTGACGAAGTCGGAGTTTCCAATTATGTCAATCCTAATCAGCATGTCGATCTCGGTATCATTTACCAAGCCACTGTGTCTGAGGAGGGAGACAAGCTCGAGCCTTATTTCCAACTCAGAGCTCGTTCAATCAACAACTCAACAGCTCCTGATCCAAGGATCGTACCAATTCCGCAAGAACTGTTGGGCCGAGCTATTCGAGTTAGGATCTCTCCGAGGAACGAGACTCACAATGAGTTCTTTGGAAGCTCGGCAGATCGTGTAGGTTCTGAGCAGTCGCTCTGGGTCTTCAATAACGCGTTGTTGGCCGGAGATGGAGCTACGACCGGTGGGTTGCTCGGTGTCTATGCTACTACTAATGGTGGGAATGACTCCTTCAACGGGTACGTTGGAAGGTGGAGATACGAACCCATTGGCCAGAAGGTGGATTACAGTGTCATTGTTCCAACATCAACCAAATAGCAGTAGGCATGGACCTATTCCTCTCTAAGTCTCAATAGTGAAAAGTATGAGGGCAGGGATCATGCGCATATCTGCCCAAGCAATATTGAAAATCGAAATCAGTACATCTCCGAGAAGCCCAAGACTGTTCGCTTGCTTTTCCGCAAGGCAATCCTTGAGACCAAAGCTGCAACGCTATGCATGCTAATATTCGCAATCATGCTGGCAGAAGACAGGAGAGCTACTCAGCCATTCGCCGACTATCGATGCGTCTTCTGATGCAAAACATCTGTGGGTGGATGGATATTCAAATTTTATATGCACAGTTCAAAAAGCCACTGGATTCACTGTCCATTGTGAATTTCGTCCCAATGCACTTCGGGAAAGTCTTCAGAAGGGCTGTCCAAGAGAGGCTGGTTATTATGACGCAAGACATCGTCAAAGAAGGCCCGAATGAACGTCCTTGAGATATGGACCATTCTCCTTCCGTCAATTGGCCCCTGTGTACGTGTCGTGCCGAAAATCTTCCAGAATCCCAGGTCAGACCAGTCAGGATGCAAGCTTCCATCCACCGAGAACAGACGCCACCAGCCAGTCTGCCAGGCTCGGTAGTTGTTCCAGGTGCGGTCCGAATTCGCGTTGTGGCCCTGAAAGCCGAGAATCATCGAGGGTTTCCTGAGATCCGAGTCGGAGGTGTTGTTCAATCGACCCCAGTTGGCACCGTCGACGTTTATAGCGGCTGCTACTGCATCGCTCTCGAGAGCTACGGTGAGAGCAGCAGAGCCTCCTAACGATACCCCGAATGTGCCGAGATCGGTGATCCTAAAGGGAGCTTCAAGCCTTTCCACGAGTGAGGGGAAGTAGTCGATGAAGTGCAGCTGCTGTCTGACCCTGACGGCATGCAAGTCCTCTACCCAGGCAAGGGTATAATTGCTGAAATTTGGTGGCAGTCCGTAGACGCCCGTACCATTGGGGTACCGCAAAAAAGGCTGCTCATGAACGTGATCCAATGCAGCGACAACATATCCTTCATTTGATGCAGACTTAGTCTAGAGTTCTAAGCAACGACACGTTGAGGCATCGCGAGCTTACCATGCGATATCAGTTCCGAGATGATAATGTAGTCACCATCGGTCGGTACACCCCAACCGCCAGGCCCGAAAAGAAGCGTTGGGCCGCTTTCTTCATTCAGATAAGTCGCGTTCCATCGCAGCGTCGACGTCAGGTGAGAGATGTTGTAGCTCCATAGGTCGGTGTATAATTTGGCAAGCTCGGGCTCGAGGTACGGCTTTGGGCAAGGCTTCTCGTCTTCGGTGGGATAGTACAGCGTGACGAGGTACTCAGTCGAAACACCGTTCGGCCACACAACATCATTCTCTTCCAAGAAAGGGACGACGAAACGCTGAGCGCCGACGTTGTACCTCCCAGTAGGGTCAGGGAGTGGTTCTCCGAGGGCCGTACGCGCGAGCGATACGCAGAACCAAACCGTCAGGGCTCTTAGGGTTTGAACCTTCATGTTGGCGGTCGGGGGCGCGGTGAAGCCGTTCAATACACTGAGCGGAATGATTGTTCCCCAAAGCGATATTGGAGGATTTAAATATATTTTTTGGTATCGGCCTTGTTCTTGGTATAGATATTTTGCCTCGCGAACCCCTCTCGGTTCAGAGGTAGAAATTCGTTACCAGACGCAATGCAGTGGCGCAGTCAAATCATCTTAGTTTGCAGTCCCCATGAGCACTAGCGTTACCTCAATCAGGCAGCTGAGAGAACCCGATATGCTGACAGGAGTCGAAATGTGCAACGTCGGGCAACAGGTTGTGCGCGTAGTGTGGGGGATGGCCTGCGAAGCGTCTTGGCATTCAGAGTGCAAGTAAGCTGACAGCAGATCGGATGATATAAGGCCGGGCAATCGCTCTGCCTTCGAGTCCCGTTGCTAGTTGGGGATGATTGTCAGCCTCATCGTGGAATGACGATCTAATATCGTGCCCGGCACTCAGTTTCATGTTGCGCAGCCAAGGTGCAAGGCTTCAAGTTGGATCTTAGTATTTGTGCGAAGTAAGGGATTTAATCGCTGCAAACTGTGATCAAATGCGTTCTGGATTTTGCTAGACAGGAAAAATGAAAGACAGGTCCAACAGGCCAGCACGATGGCTGTCATGGGAGATGGGGAGGTTGAGATCGAGAGAGAAGCAGGGATGATATACATGTACTATTCTGTAAAGGAAATGACATTACCCATAAGCCTACTTCCGATACCACATTCTCGTGATCTTCGTCCTTCTCTGCTTTGCCTGTAAGAGGAATACGCCATGTAGTAGAGCCTCTGCAGTGGGTGGGCATCCGGGCACGTAAATGTCTACGGGTATAATCCGATCCACTCCCCTGACAACTGAGTAGCTGTAGTGGTAGTAGCCACCTCCATTCGCACAGCTGCCCATGCTGATGACCCATTTCGGATCGGGCATCTGGTCGTAGCATTGTCGAACAGCAGGTGCCATCTTGTTCGTGACCGTGCCAGCAACGATCATAACATCAGCTTGTCGAGGTGAAGCGCGGAAGATGATGCCGAGACGATCTTGGTCGTAGCGAGGCATGGACACATGCATCATCTCTATACCGCAGCAGGCTAAACCAAAGGTCAAGGGCCAGAAGGAACCCTGACGGGCCCAATTGACGATGCTATCCAAGGTAGTTCTGTTCTTGCTGTTAGCCAGTGATGGAAGTCTTGAGACATGATGTTCTGGTGGACTTACAACACATGTTCGACGGCGTTGGATGGAGGTTTGATGATTTGGCTGTCAAACGGGAGAGTGGTCTGTGGCACGATGCTAGTCTTCGTAGATTGTGATCTCGTATGGCTCTGATGGCGATGATGTCGAGATCTAAGTATAGATGATGTAGATGAAAGATGGAGGGCATGAACTTGTGCTCGAGTGGCCAGTCTCAGCGGATGACACCGCAGAACAGCTAGTAAGATGGTGAGCCATGTTATTAAGGCCTTGCATGTGCGCGAGAAGTGCGCGAGAAGTGGCCGTTGACGACTCAGGACCCCGAGAGTCCGAGAACGTATTGAAGATAAAACGGACTTACAAAGGCTGGACATCTTATACGACTCAATAGGATCGGTCAAAATCGATCATCGAGCAGAGGGAAAGCTGAACAAGGCAGAAGGATAGGTATCAGATAGGTCTATTCAATCATTTGCGAGAAACAGCGCAGTATCGGACATTATAAAAGGCCACCGGAGGCCGAGAGAAATGCGTCAAACATCAAGAAGAATGGTCATTTTATACGGTATTCAAATCAAGGAAGCCCCCCATTGATGCATTACACTGCGGTAGCCGCAAAGTGGCTGCAGGGTGTGGTAAGTCAAACCCCCCACTTCCTGGCACCCCCCTGTTTCTGGCACCCACAAAAACGATGGGATCACAACCCAACCTCCTCATTACTATTAACTATTGATCCTCAACCACACCCACTACAATACAACTGCCAGCCTCACTAGGGCATTCAGAGTCGCTGGATTCAGCCGTAATAACCTCCTTTTCACCCGCTTCGATTTGAGCCCGATGGATATCCCTGATGTTCGCAAACTTCGTGTTGGGATCGATCTGAACAGTCTTCCTCTTCCTAACTGCAGCGTTGGTAACTTGAGCCCTCAGGTGAGCCAGCTGCTGCTGGGCAGCTGCCAGTTGCCAGGCCTGCTCTGTGAAGCCTTTTTTCACCTTCCTGAACAGCAGCCGTTGAGTGCTGGTATCATTGTCGAGTTGGGTGTATAAGTGCAGTTGACCGCTGAGCTCTGCCAGCTTCCTGGGTGTCGACCAGACCACTGCAGAGGAAGCAGAATCCCATGGCTCAACAGGGGTAGTTTGTTGACCATTATGGCATCGCTTTTTGACTGGTTGGTTTGGGTGTGGTGGGCAGCAGAAGGCTCAGGTAATACCATAGGGTTCATCAGGGGCTTAACCATCGCTACAGGGTGTAGACCAGTCCACTTCCAACCACTTCTGATGTTCGAGACTGATAGACCAGCAAGTCGAGCCTTCTGGTAACAGTCCAGGAAGTTCCTTTTACCTATAATGGTAGAGTCGTTCCATTGAGACAAGTAACCGAGCTCCTTCCGATAGGCTGACTTAACAGGGCTGAAGACAGACTGGTCAAGTGGCTGGAGGACATGAGAGGAGTGTGGTGGTAAGAACAGTAAATGGATATTGTTAATATAGCAATTCCACATGAAGTCTGTCGTCGTATGACTCCCATGCCCATCCACAATCAACAGTCGAGCCTCGCCCTCAGCCTCGGGCATAGTCTGTGGGATAAACACCTTCTCTAACCATTCAATGGCAGTTAAGTCTGTAGTCCAGCCATTATCTGTTGCTGTAAACTCCCACCCATCGTATGGAACCAGATGTAATGGAAACCACTGTTGTTGGACCGTCTTCCCTTGAAAATGATAAGAGGACGAAGTGCCCTACCCAAGGCTGAGATACACTCAATGATAGAGACCCATGCCCTCGACCCAGGTTGTTTCTTGCGAACAGACGTCGTCTCAGCCATGCCCAGCACTAACCCATTAGCTCCCTGACCCTCGAGGATGCCAGTCTCATCCATATTATATCTGTTGGCTGGTTTGATGTCCTTGATCTCAGGGATAGCAAGGAACTTAAACCAGTTCCTAATGACCTCAGTAGATGCCCCATTAACGCGTCTAGAATCGATGGAACGACTTCTCTGAACCTTAATGATAGGGTTCCTTCTCACGAAGGCATAGATCCAGCCTTTTCCTAATGGTTTGGTATCCCCAGCAGCAGCCAGAACTCGCTCTGCGAATTCCTTCACCTGTTGGTGCGTTGGTGCGAGGCCCAGCGAAGCCTGAATGCGAACCCATTGTGCCAGCTTACTCTCCTGGTCAGGAGACAGCCTCTGCCAGTCAGCAAAAGCCACTTTCCTAGTCTGACCACCTTGGAGACGTAGTTGGAGGGTTGATCGTGGTATCCCATACTCCAATGAGGCTCTCTTTTGACTCTTGCCGTTTGAGATGTCCTCGAGACGAAGCTGATCTTCGGTATATTGAGGCATTAGATATAGAAGAAGGTATGTGCAAAAAATGAGCCCATTTGGACTCGAATTGAAAATGTTGTGATAAAAGGAGGTTGGGGGTGGGCATTGCGTTGTGGTGGATTTTCGCGTTTTTGTGGGTGCCAGAAACAGGGGGGTGCCGGGAAGTGGGGGGTTTGACTTATCTAAGAAAGGTCCCTGGTGCAAAAGGTGCTACTGATGAAGTAACTTCATTCACTTGATACATATGGCTATGACATTATGACTGTAGGAGGATATTAGTGTTGCGGGAGTTTCCGGGTAGTGCAGTTGACGTTGATAATGGTGAGAAGTTGAGGAAGGAAGAGGTCAAAATGGAGACTGAAATCGGGGGAGTAGCCTCTTTCCCTTTATTTTATGCCAAGACCAAGGACGCTGTGATTCGCTCAAGGGCCCACTACGGTAGATAGTGGGGCTGCGAGAGCGAGAGTTCTGTCCCAATCGGGATAGTAAATCCACCTGACCTCAGGGCGGGACAACAGGGGCTCACCGAGATCCCGGGGGTGGGATTTCTCCGGTCACAGAGATACAAACTGCCCTCAAACCCCTTGTCGTCGGATTTGTGGGTCCCCGTCCTGCCATCCCGCGTCATTCCGAACGCGTTCATCGGCTTAAACCCACCATCTTCACATTCTCTGTCGTTCATCCAAGCCCACTGCCAACCAACGCGACTTGATTACTGAGAATCCTAAGCCCAATTCGAATAGCCCGCCGCTATCTCTACTGGGATTCTTCAACTACGCCGCCGGTAGACAGCCGGACCCGCCATGGCCGCTCCTTCAACCGGAGGTCATACCTGTGCTATTTGCGGGAAGCAGTATCAAAGAAGTGCTCATCTACGCCGGCACGAATCCACACGTAGGTAGTCTCCTTGTTTTCCTGTGTTCGTTTCTTCATCCTGTCCGTATTTCTTCTTTTGTGTCAACATCTTGCCTCTTTGAGCCTACAGCCCGTTCTATTCAGGGCGATCTCCCCTACTTCCCGCCTGACAGTGATGACCGCCCGGATTTATCGGTTGTCATTATCGATGTATTGTCAGTTCGTTCCAGCATTCAACGTGACAGGATTCACCTTGCGTCATCTCAATCAAGCTTTTGCGTAGTATAACAATCAGCCCGAGCTATCATTTAGCGTTTGATTGACTTCTTCGGGATGTTTTTCGACCTCGGTACTCACAACCTCGCAGACGTAGAATCCGCCAGGTACAAGTGCCTGTACTGCGAAAAGGCGTTCGCCAGACGGTTCGTATCATCTCGCGCACATCCATGCCGGAAATCCCACTAAAGCGTGACAGAGATGTGTGCCGTAAGCACACGATTCACTGCCCCAAGAAACAAGACCAAGAAACCGTTCCAAATCTCAAGCGCGGCCAGAAACCCCGCGCATGCGACGCCTGCTTTCACAGCAAGCAGTCATGCGATACTTCTGATCCCTGCGTGCGATGCGTCTCTCGCAAGCTCCCATGCACATATCACCGGTTGGAAGAGAGCACATCCGTAATCACAGATGCATCCTCATCCACACCATCCTCATCATTGGCCACCACCGCGGTAGGCACACCCGATAATGACAAGGATCGCACCAAAATCACAGTCGCTTTCCTTCTCGGTCTGACAAATCCCAACTCGGAGAACATACTCGAGTTCCTCGCCAGTGAAGCAGCTGCGAGAACCGAGGGCGATGGAATCGATCCAACAATGAAGGACATGCATGTGCCCACGCAATATCCTCCAAACATGCTGATCGATGATGACTTCACGTTCCTTCCTTATGGGTTTGCATCAACGTTCGCTCCCGAGCTGATAGACTTCAACTCCTTGGACGTCTTGTCAGAAAACATACTGTCCAACACTAGGATGTCGTTTCTTGTGCCTGAAAGCCTAGAACCGCGATCAGCCGAAATAATCTCGGGGTTGCAAGAACTTCATCACACTCTGGTTGCCACAAATCAATGGTATGACGGCACCTTTGATCTTGACACGGCAAACTCGGTGTTCTCGGCAGGCAATCTGTGCCAATTTGCTGCGACCTACTTTCGAGTCAGCCATCTTGACTTTCCTATCGTTCATCGGCCAGACTTTGGCAGTGACTACACAACCAAACAGCTGCTCTTGGCCGTTGGACTCTCTGGGTCTCTGAGATCCCCCCCAAGCGACGATGCCCTCGCAGCCCGTGGATATCTCACACTTGCCGAGGAATACATATTTCGTTGCCTTGAGCGTCTGATGCCCCCGGGCTCAGCGCCAGAGTTCACCCATGAGCTTGAAGAGACACTACAGGCAGCCCTCATGATCCACTCCGTTCAGTTCTTCCGAAACGACGTAGCATCGCGGCGGAAGAACAGAACCCAGCGACTCCCGCAGCTTGTATCGGCCGTACGGGTCCTCGGTCTAGCACAGACCAAACATGCTCCCATATTCCAATATGAAGAATTTGTGCGCAATGAGTCAAAAATCAGGTGAGCCTATTCATCCCCCTCAGTAGACACATCGTTGCTGACAGGTGTGCAGACTAGCCATTTGGACGGCGCTAGGAGACTGGCAGCAATGCGGCATGTTCAATACGCCGCCATCGATGACGCCTGCAGAGTTGACTTGTGATCTGCCGAGCCCCTTGGAACTTTGGGATGCCAAAGACGCGGCGGAGTACTATGAAGCGGCCAACGCTCTCGGGGCCGATGGTTCTAGGCGGATTTGTTCCGTCAAACAATGCACCGACGCGCTGATGGCTGAGAATTGGGTCGGCATGGGGAGCTTCCCGTTCCAAGATATCAGCGGATCCGACCTACAATTGTTAATTTTCGGTATGGTTACCCCCTTTACCTCGTTTTGAATCAAGCATACGCAAGAAGTGGACGAATCTAATGACAATAGCACTCAACGGCATGTTGGCATCGGCCAATCTCATGGGCGTACTACCTGCGTGCGCACCAGCCCTACTGCGTGCCGTTTCCAGGTGGGAAGTCATGTGGGACACGATCAGGGGTCGCATGGAGCCCGCCGCATTCGAAAAAGCAGGCATGATCCGGTACAATAGCGAGCTATGCTGGATAGCAAGAAAGCTCGTTCATGTCTCCATCTCAGGAGACAGGAGTTCTGCGTACATGCAGAAAGTTGGACACGATTCCCTTGTGCAGCTGCATGAGTTTGTGCGTCAGTATCGCGATAGCTGAACAATGTCTACGATGGCTACCAGCGCGAGTGGGCCAAGCATCCATACAACGGAAAGTACGAGCACGGATATTGCTGTCTTTCACAACTCCCCTTCAACCACACATGTACTTCAAGATGATTAATGAGGAACTCGGAACTTTGGAAGCGAAAAGTCAAATGTTTGTATAGTGTAGCCGTGTTTGTAATTCAACGCTGATTGTGGGCTTTTCCAAGGCTAGAGAACACGCATTCGATCGATTCGATATATCAAACAGGACGGTGTCAGGCAAGCTTAACACTGATCTCTACCGCCTTTTTCTCCACTAGTAAAGTACATCCAAACATTCTCGCCAAAAGTCAATATTCAGAAAGCAATGACCACCAATCCGCACTCGGGTGACTCTTTCAACGTCCCTTGACGGCAGACACCAACATGATACCACCGACAGAGCCGCTCGCCACTTTTTGAGACTCCATTCTTCACGCTAATTTACAAGTGACGCTTGCGCGCACAGCCACCCTTTGAAGCAGCAGTCGTGGTGGTGGAAGCGGCAGCAGAAGTAGCAGAGGTAGCAGGGGGAACGCCAGAAGCAGCACCGCTCGGGGGAGCACCACTGGGACCGGCACCGCTGGGGAAAGTACCGCTGGGAGGACCACCGGCACCTCCGGGGCCACCGCCGCCGTTTCCGGAAGAGGTATCGACACCACCGTCGGCGTAGTAGTGGGCAGCGGCGCTAGCAGAGCTGGAGTAGTCGGCGGTGGTGTTGTATCCAACGGTGATCCAGGCCAAAACACCCTCGGAGATGTCGTCACCGAGCAGGACGTATTGGACAAAGGGGTCGTAGTCCGCAGTCGCTTCACCAAAGGCGATGCTGTCACCAGAGTTGAGAGTCAGCTCCTGCGTGTTGGTGTTGTAGGGCGCGACAGCCTCGACTTCGGAGATGAGAGTCTGGTCGAAGAAAAGCTGGCCGACGTGGTTGGTCACGCCGTCGACGTAGGTGTCGTTGTCCAGGACAGTGGCGCCCGTCGTCGTCTTGACGTGGATGTGGGTAGCACGGCCGGTGTAGTGGCCCGGGAACATGGTATCGAACTGGACAACTCCATCGTCATCGGTCTGCTGAACACCGCGACCAAAGGTCGAGTTCAGACCGCCCTGGCCGGTGGCAGAGACACCAGAGTACACGCCGGTCGCATTGCAGTGCCAAGCGTCGATCAGGATCTCGGGCACACCCGCGCAGGTGGAGACGTCGACGAATTGGACGTCGAGGTGCAGAGGCACGCCGGACTGTCCATCCGTCATCTCGCTGCGGATCAGCTCGCCGGCAACCCAGTAGGGACCAATCGTGGTCTCGGGAACGACGACGCAGGTGGTGTTCTGGGCGAACAGGGTGGCAGGGTCGGTATCGAGAGTGTATCCCGCGGAAGACTTGTGGTCGATAGCTGCCCAGGTGGTCAAGTCACTCTCAGCACGGCGGCGGATGGGAGCTAAAGAATCACATGTCAGCAAGGAATTTTGAAAGCGTTCTCATGGAATCTTACCAGTCGCAGAAATGGCTCTCTTGGCGCGGAGCTCCTTGAGCTTGGCCTCGCGACGTTGGATAGCACGCTGCTTGAGGGCGACGTCGGCAGCCGAGCCGGCACAAGCGTCGAGAGCCCGGCGGGTACTGGCGGCAACAGATCGGCGCAGAGCCATCTCGCGCTTATGGACGTGAGGATCATGCTTTTCTCCTGGGTGCGCAGTGACACCGGTGAGGGCAATAGCCGCCAACGCGAGGCGGGAAACGGTAACCATTTTGTTGAATCGGGATGTCAACGTTGAAAATAGCGAAAGTGAAGTGAAAAAAGAATGTAATTTCTCAAGGTCTTGCTCAAGTGAAGAAGTGAAGGAGAAGTGCCTAGAATGACTGATGGTGGTAAGGAAAGAAACAAGAACTGCTGAACTTCGCCATGGCTCAACGTCTTTATGTATGCCATCTCCAGGAGGGAACAAGATATCGTCACGCTTGATCGTTTACGCCTCCAAATCACACAACAAGGGCAAACAACAAGATCGCAATCTTTTGCAAACTGCGTACGTATGAGTGACTCGTCATCAGTCCTCGGTCCAACGCATGGGTTTTCACATCGACTTGCAGTCACGCACCGTCTACCGGAGGGATTGAGGCTGTAGTCGGATGCCAAGCCCCGGTATGTGGGAGCTTGGGCGGCGGAGGGCAGATCTTAGTGCGACGCTGCTACTTTGCGGGGAAACGGCCGGCGAATCACAGAGACCTCAATCAAATCACCCTCTCCTTTCCGAATGGTTCGGACCTTTTAAGGGGTAATTAAGCCAAGGGTTAAAGATAAAATCAAGCGTAATGCCATGTGGGGGGGTCTATGTGGATTAATGGATTATGGATTAGCAACCCGTCGGCGGTTCCCTTTGTGGCGTTGCTAGTCTCTACCGACTCAATTTGTCTCGGGTGAGTAGCCAGAAATATTCAACGTGGACGTTTGCATTGCGGACGTTATCGCGCCCTCGGTGGTCCAGCCGTGTCTCGCGTCATAGCCACCGACATGCCAGGAGCAGCCAGGAGCACCTAACCAACCTCGATCTCGGGAGCTAGGGGTACATAGAGATTCCACCAGGCCTAGTTTCTGTCTTGTACGCGTATGCCTACTTTACAGGCCCGGAAAGTGACGGTAAAGGTTAAGAGTCAATCGGTTCCTCAGGTGGGAGTCATTTTCCGCGGTGGATTTCTTTACAGCTGGAGCCTCTGCGTACTCATGAATCGAGATTCTGCGACCACGTTCAGTACGTCTGTGACTATTGTGGCCTCAGTATGTTTGCACCACCTCTCGAAATCTCATAGATACAAAGTGATTCTCTATCAAGCAGCATCAGGTGCTCTGAGCTTGTATGCTCCTCGGATATCAGTAATTCTTGAATTTTGATGAACAATTCTTGCGACAATAAGGCATTAACATTATCATTGTCTTGTTTGTGGAACACCTCCCGGGGCAACAGCCGAGGTAAAGATGACGATTAGGGCAGTTCGTAGTGTAGAATCAGTTGCAGGCGTTTCCATTGACTAACACAAAAATTCCAGGACACATTATCTAGGTAATTATAACATCGAATAAAGCGTGACTTCACCCTACAAAACCCATTTCTCTGTGACATCTATCGAAAGACATTGTCAAATCGTCACATGTTCACATGCTGCAAGCTTCGAGAAGTTGAATATTGGTGAACTTTGATGCCGCTGTCTTCTGGGGAATCGTTCGTATTGTGACTGATATGTTGCACTACATGACCTTGACGGCTGCCGTACGGGGAAGTCTGCGTTCGAAAGGCTTACGTGTAACGTATTGCCAAGCGCATATAAGAGAACAGTCTGCAATCAGCTGGAATAAAGCCCATCTTTCTTTCTCATCATCTCCGTTCCCGTACCTAAGGTATCCCAAATCACATCTCATCCCACCCGGAAACGGCCCGTCATTACCTATCTACTCATGATGCTATGAATCCAAGGGCGAAAAAGGTCTCTCGTGTCATTAACCAGAGTTACACGACTGGCCCATGATATACGATGATATATTTTGGAAAGCAACGTGCGTATAAGAAACTCAAGGAGGCCATCGAGACCTCAGGAAGGTACTTGGGTAATGGGTCCATCGGCGGCTGCCCGAGTCGGTTAAGCACCAGGCCCCCGATTGAAGAAAGCCCATTGATAGCACCCCATCATGAAGCACTTTAGCTTGCATATGTTATCAGGACTCTGGGTGCGTGATTGAGGCCTGCGGATAGCTGCTGACGACGCCCCGGCAGCCAGTCCTTCGGCTGTCCGAGGGCTTTATTCTAATGTTTACCAGGACATCAGAGCTTTCACAAATGACATATCCCTGATAGAATTCCATGAAAACCTTCAAATCCGTGGTAGAAGTGTCTGTGTTCATTCTTGATACCTGTGATAGCCGAGGCTTTGTCATTGCGTGGCTGTTTACTAAAAGAGCAGCATGATGTCAATATGTCAATATCTCATATTGAATTAATAGCCAACCGCTATCGGTAAGACTTTATCCACACTGACGTATCATGCTAGTGCTAGAGTGAGCATTATACGTCAAAACTTCGACGCCCGACTCCCCTTCGAGAACGATATGTAGGCTTGATTTCACGTGTAAGCAATCTTCACCTTCTAAGGCGGATTCACTATGATCTGTAGATTTTGGTGCATAGCATTCCTTCAAATTGAAGAGCACAAAAATGGAAACACCTTCATATACTAACAGAAACAATAGTCGCCCAATATGAAAACCGAAATAGGACGTATTTGCAGTCGAAGGGATATTCCTTCGGGTGTTCTTCATTCATAAGCTGGATGCCGAAGATGGGGTTTATGGATCCTCGCTAACAATAGACGTTCCAGGGGGCGGTCCGCGGGAGGTCCCTGTAATTACTTGGCTTGTCGCATGAACCCGCCTCTGGGTAGCCTCTATCACTCCACCACTGAGCTCAGGCAACGTCCCGTTAAAGGTCTACATCGTCGCCCTGATGCAAAATGGCGGGCCCCGTCACCGTGCCTCTGCACCTTCCGTCCCTTTTGACGACACAAACGGCCATTTGGCCCAAAGTCCATCGCAGGACGCGCATGCTTTGCCAAGAAATTCGGAAGACTTCTCTTGGAAAGGCCTGGAACCTGCGTCGACCTGACACAAACGGCCATTTGGCCCAAAGTCCATCGCAGGACGCGCATGCTTTGCCAAGAAATTCGGAAGACTTCTCTTGGAAAGGCCTGGAACCTGCGTCGACCCTGACATCTTCTCAAAGCAGGTCGACTTCCGTGTGTGTCTTTGGGACCATTGATGAGAAAGCGTGGATTCTGGAAACAGCCATCCTTCTTAGTGCCAAGTTCCTCCGTGACACCTCCGCGCGACAACGCGTTAGATCCCGTTGCTCCAGTCCGGAATACGACATCAACTCACGGATGGCTAGACGCTACCTTCTCTCGAAACAATGGAGGGTAAGCACATCCACCAAAAGTATCTCACGTGGCACCGAGCTGATCTCATGCCTTCATCGATGTTCAGGCCTACCAGGCAACTAGCAGAGCCCATACGCGGACCCGCTTCATCGTCGTGGAGCAACAAGGTCCGACGTACGGCTCCTCTCACGACAAGCAACGGCATGAAAAGGATGAACCTGAAGACTCACCACATGGCTGGAAACCTACCTTCTGGAGAGTTGTCGAGGGCAGCGCGACGGCCTTTGGCTCCATCGCGGTCCTCGGCCTGGCTGGCTACTCGTATCACGCCTACTACAAGGACCTTGTCCTGCGAAAGATGGACAATGCTTTTGGCGTTGGCTTCTCGACACCAGAGCTGACGGCTCTAGGACGCCATGTGGCTCCTCATAAGCTCCATACCATTGATGACTTTACGGGCTTGGAGGGTGAGAACGAATGGATCCCTCGGGCTGAGCAGGAGCACATTGACGGCATCATTGACGGGACGATCCGAGGTCAATATCACTTAATCACGGGAGAGAAGGGCACGGGGAAGAGCTCCATGATCCTCAAGGCGATGCGCAGGGTCAACGGTTCGGGGATTGCCATGCTCGAAGCCCATAGCGACCTCGAGGTCTTCCGTCTGCGCCTGGGCAAAGCGCTCGACTTTGAGTTTCACGAGGACTACATCGGAAGCTTGTTCAGCTTCAAGGGCCCTCGTGATTCGACCGCCATCCTAGACATTGAAAGAGCCTTCAACAAGATGGAGAAAGTGGCTCTGATGCGGCAGAGACACATCCGGAAGCCGCTCGTCTTGATCATCAATCGCGTCCACGTACTCCGAGACGATGACGACGGACGCGAGCTGCTGGAGTTGATCCAACAGCGGGCGGAGATGTGGGCGGCAAGTCGCCTCGTCACGGTGGTGTTCACCAGCGACGACCACAGTACCACTGAGCACCTCAAGTGGCAGGCCACGCGGATATCCGTGACCGACGTCCGCGATGTGCCTCGCGATCCTGCTGTTCAAGCACTACACGATTTCCGGCAAAAGGTCTTCAAGGAAGATGTGCCCAGCGATATCCTGAACCAAGTCTACAAGTTGGTTGGCGGGCGCGTCAGGTTCCTTGACCACGTTGCGAGATCAAAAGACATGCTCGCGGCCTGCAAGTTCATCTGCGACAGGGAGAAACGCTGGCTCTTGGGCCAATGCTGGATGTTGGGTGCCGACATGGATCCCGATGCCGAGGATCAACAAGACCACGCCACCACGGCGTTCTTACTGGCCAAGGCGTTGATTGAGAAGGAAAAGGATATGAAGCCAGAAGAGCTCCTGGCCGGAAAGTTGCCGGAGATGCCTCTTCACGAGGCAAGACATCTCATGACGAGGTTCGACTTTATCCAGAAGCATGATCACTTCAACATCTTCTCGATCGATTCCAATTCCATGGTTCGGGCGGACTCTGTGCCGATGCACAACGCCTTCAAGGAGATATGCGCGCAGGAAGGGTTCGATGAGCTTCTTGAAGCCAGTCTAGAGAGACTTGATGAGTTGGAGGGTCTTCAGAGGACGAGAGAGATTGTGATGAAGGATTTGGCAAATGAAGGGCAGTTCCAGGCAATGGTTCGCCAGGTCAAGGCGGGAGAAGATGGCTTGACGGTCACCGTCAAGGCTGCATCACCCAAAGAGTAGGTCTATCGAAGGACCTTATCAGAGGCTAGGGTCGCACAGCGTGAGGGTGTAAGCAAATTTGCATGAACAAGCATACCTAGCCACTGGTCTTACTGAGCCGCCGGAAGTAGGTAGTTTGTCAGGCCTGTCTCACAAATATCTATAGGGCTGTGTGCTTAGATTGCGTGACGTGCTGTGGGCGCCATTAGATACTGAAGACTGCCTAATAGGCCAGTGCACTGCATGTCAATGGGGTTATGTGAGATTCATCGTCATCGTTTGGTGCAGCCTCGCTTCCAACAGGCTCGAGCCTGTGAAGAACTGGATGCTTGTGTTTCCTTTTACCAAGTGTCTCCAAAGCTCGAAGTGAGAGCTGAAACACTTTGCTCACAACCAAAGTGTACGTTTGTTTGTTTGTTTGTGTTCATCCAATGTTTTGTGGCCTTGTATCATTCCAGAAAAGAATTCTCGAAACTACCACCGCGGGCATCGGAGAAATTAAGCAGGACAAACCACGCGGGGGTTGGAAGCCGGAAGCGGGAAAGTCAACGGCGGCCGAGACCGGGCCGTGTGGGAAGTGGACCATTTAGGGTTTCTATTCATCGGAGGTCAAAGCCAGCATGTGTTGAGAGGGGCCCGGCGTTTCGGAGAGATGAGGTGCAACGACGTTGACGAAAGGAATGCGAGCCAGAAGTTTGGATGCCGGAAGGGGAGAGTAGTGGAACACTGGAACTTTCCTGCCTACTTCGGTTGGGGAAATCGGCAATTGTGGGATGATCTCGCTCAACGCCGAACGGTGAAGAAGATGGCGATGAGTGGGATTTGACGTTGAACAAAGTTGGATGATGAGGAGCTACGGATGCGCGCGAGAGCTACTGTGGATGAGCACTAGGACCAATGCACCCCGGATTCTGGAATGACGCTGCCATGCGACGGGAGTCTAGTGGGCCGCGCCAGAGGCGTTTGATGACGAGGTGATGGACCGATGGGCTTCAGTCCAACTGTCCAAATAGTCCATGGAGGAGCGAGCCCGAGGATAGGTACACGATCATGACTCTGCGCTACTTTGGTCTGAGCTGGAGTGCATGAACTCTGGGGATCTTACTGGTGAGGTTGAGGGAATTGGATTGGTTGATGTGTGTGTTTGTAAGATGCGACATGAGGTCACTTCATGGGATGACAGCCGCGGTTTGCTCTGTGGAGTGAGCACAGTGAGGGGAAAGCGCGAAAAATGAGGGAGGAGAAAGCGAGCCATCGTGGTGAAGTGGTAAGGTGAGTGGATGGTGCTGGATGTTGACGAGGGGTGATGCATGTCGGATGACGTCGTCACGATGGTGGGGAGCCCTCTAGAGTCGCGGAAAGTAGGTAAAATGCGAGGGGGCAAGTCAGACAAGAGAGTGTGTCTTCATTCGCGGAATGAGTTTGGAGGTTGGGAGATGAGGGGAAAAGTTTCGAGTCACTTGGTTTCCATTATCGCCATGGCACGAGTCGCAGAAGAAACGAATGTTGAGGAATTACGTGTTACCTTTGGTACAAGTGAGCTGGAGAGAATAACATGGAGTGAGAAGCTGAAGTGAATCACACAACGGGGGTTAAATGAGAGTGAGAGTTCGATGCAATTGAGAGCTGGAAATAGGAGCAACACTGGGCGGTGCACGACACAGCATGAGGCAGCAGCAACCGGAAGCCGCTCATCGCCTCTTCCTTCCGTGTCTAGGGGACGCTGCTGCTTCCAATGCGTGCAATGAACGTTGCACCTGCCTGCGGGCGATCGCGATTCCACGCTCAGACCAGCTGCACGTCGAGCACCAACCAACGGCGAAGCAGCGACCCAGGGGTCGGGGTCCACACCTGCCACTTCCACATGGAGACGATGGAGAACCTGGAAGGATTCGAACCTCAGGAATCAGGGCACAAGGTACCTTCGTACAATGGAAGGGTACGTCCCTATGATACCTCAGGGCAGTAATGGGTGCCTTATCGATTCGAGAGTATTCGGTACCTGACCTTTGGCGGCCAGAGCTACGGGTTTTCCACCACTCGCCTTTTCCTAACGCATGGCGGCCTTTTCCTCCCTGCGGCTCCCAGCCCAAACACGCCCAAGCAAGCCCAACCTCGCAACAGGCTAATGTAGTCGAAACAAGTTTGAAGATACAGGTAAGTATGCTAGATAGGAACTTCGTGAGAAGCACACTCGCAGCGCAGGTCTGATTGTGTCTTATATGCCCTGCCTTGCCTGGCTGTGCCTCGCCCTGGTCGCTTAGGCGTAGAAGACGCTCGAAGCGAAGTACGGCTGCAGTGACACCCGACGTCAATGATCCATCATCACCTTGTCGGAAGCGACAGACGCGGAAGACGCGGCCCTTTGGTACGTGAGCCGGTGAGAGGCGCCCCAAAGCGACCCGAGTGAATCGTTAGTGAGTGGGACGAGGGGACAGCGACCCCGAAAAAGGTGACTGAGACTCGTAGAGTTCTTTCCCAAGGCCACCCCAGCCTCCTTCTCATCCCCGCATGCCGCAACTCAGTTAGGTACCTTATACACCACTTCACTCACACGAGCATCTCCAGGTGCTAGGCATTTACCGGTATATGTAGTCAAAGTACCTTACCAAGTATCCGTACCTTTCCTGTGCTATCTTTCACCATATATGTACCTAAGGTACTACGTACTGTGTATGTCTGCACTGCTGCAGGCAAGTCGGAATGAAATGGTCTAAAGATGTAACCTCAGCTGGGAAGATGGAGGCATTGTTGCTGTGTAAGGTAGTCGAGAATAGAGCCCGAGGTGACAGAGTCACAGAGTGAACCCACAAAACCTTGCTCATGAGCTACCTACTTACCTGATGCTGCATCTGGCACTCGGGGGGGCTTTGAGTCCAGACTTCTCTTCCATGTGCCAGTAAGGGAGTGAGGGGTGTGTGTGAGAGAGAGAGAGAGAGAGAGAGAGAGAGAGAGAGAGAGAGAGCTGCATCTGCCATTGCCTGTGGCCCGGTGGTATAAGACAAGATGGCAACCTTCAAAAGGCAGCACTTCTGCTGCATCTGCTCACCTGCCCCCCTCACCGCCGTCATTTGCCTGACATTCCACTTCCTGACGGCAACAAAGTCCCTCAGTACTCTTCCACGGATACCTACCTATCTGCTCATCATCTTTGCTTGTTCTGGGTTCCTTTTCTTTCCGAACCTTCTTCAACCCTGATCGTCCCGACAACCTCTACACATTCTTCGACACATCCCGGCAGTCTTCGTCCTAATCCAACAATCTCCCTGTTTCACAAACATCACGAGCCCCCTCTATCATCCAACCCCCCAGAAAAGAAAGAAAGAAAGAGGGACGTCCCAAGTTCCCTACGCTGTACGGATACCTACCCAGCCGTGCTAAGGTAGCTCCCAAGCACAGCTCAGCCCACCCCTGGTCGGCGCATCCGCACAAGCACCCGCACCCTGCAGGTCACGAACCACCACCCCTCGTCATCCTCAGGACCCAGCTGCAAGCCGGAGCCTGCACGCAACACGCAGCAACAAAACCACCGCCTTTCGTCACCAGATTTCCTGAACCCCGCTATTTTACCCTCTACCCACCTCACCTAATACCAACCCAGCCAAACTGATCCAAACCCCAACTAAAACCCAACGACCTGACCGACACATCTCACGAGACTGTGTATCACGACCGTTCGCCTTTGCTTCACCAAATTCCAGCTCTTCGCACACACTGCCTTAGCTTAGTCCGTCGTTGTTGCTCAAACCTTCAAAATGGCCGCCATCGTCGAACGCAGCCCCCCTACGCATTCCCCTCCTGGTCCCCATCCTAAGAGACCCAGAGGTGAGTAATTCTTCCGCAAGGCGCCGGTCGTCCGAGACCTCAACGCCAGCTAGTCTTGGACAAGAAGCTCGCAATTACTGACCACCATCCATCGCAGGTATTCTCAAGAACTCGTACCAAAAGTCGCCCCCAACATCACCCGGTGAAGCCGACCTCACCGAGAAGGAGCTCACTCTCGTCAACACCCAATACAACGCCGGCCACCGCCGCTCCTCTTCCGCAGCCCGCCCTTCAGGTTCCCGCCGCCAATCCAGCCGAACCCCCTCCCAGCAGGGCGACGACGAGCAAGATCTCGAATCGTCCCAGCGCCTCAAGTGGGACGAGGCCAACCTTTACTTGACCGAGCAAGAGCGCTCGTCGACTATGAAGATTGACGAGCCCAAGACTCCCTATGCGAAGCACTACGACCCCACCGAAGACCCCTCGGACGACGAGGAAATGTCGGAAGACCCCAACGTTGAGAGGAAGCCTCGCACGGCTCGTGCTGGTCCTGGCGTGGAGGATGATATCCCTATCATGTCGCTTGGCGAGCCGGAAGAGGCGGTCCCGGAAAGCGAGTCGTCCAAGGAAAAAGCCCTCAAGGCCGTCCACGTCGACGACAGCGCCAGCGCTCACGGCGACGACGATGAGCTGGCCGGCCTTTCGCCCGAGGAGCGGGAGAAGCACCGTCGTTTCGAGGAGTTGCGCAAGAAGCACTACGAAATGAAGGATGTGGCCCACTTGTTGGGCCACCCCGAAGAACTGGAGGAGGAAGACGACGAGGAGCGTTCTGCCCGCGGGCCGCCTCCCGTCCCTGCTCTTCCCGGGCCTAGCGAGGCTACCAACGGCCAGGCCTGAGCCTCAGTCTAAGTCTGAGCTTGGGTGGCGGCGGGTATCACTGGCTGAGTTCAGCTTCAGCCGGCACGCCGTCCCGAGGAGGATTACACGGGAGACGCATTACGAGCATTTTCACGCACTGTTGACGCTTTTTGGGGTCGAGATGGAGATTAGCATCCGGCAACGGCGTGGCACACGAAGGAGTTCTGGGTGGATATCACGGATGGGGATTTTAGCGGCGTTCCGGGGCCTTCGTGTCTGTAATCGTCGCGTTTCGCAGTCACTGCAGCAGCCTGCTTCCTATTCATCGCCGGCGCCTTTGCCGCCATCGGAGAGGGGGAGGAGTATTTCAGCACGACTAAGTAGGCTTTTTGCTTCGGCCAGAACCTGGCACTTTCAATAGAGTCCGAATTGTCCTATCAAGCTCTGTTTATCTCGTAGTATCCATCAATCTTGTGGCTCATGTGAAAAAAAGTCCAAAGCCCCAGAATGAAAACAACTTTGGTGTCTATGTGTGCGCCTTGCAATGCCCATCCAATTTGCTGCCCATCCAACTCATTCCTCACAAAAGACCCTTGCGCGCCAACTCAATCTTCCTCGCCGCCTCGCCTGCAGCAAAGCCGCCTCTCGAAACACAGATCCGGTTGCCGTCTGTGAGCTCGAACTTGTCCTGGTTCGCGGGCCAGGGGCAAGGGCAGTGGTGGGGGAAGTGGACGCAGGCGAGGGTGTCGGGGCAGAGGTAGTGTTCGCAGTAGGCTACAAAAGTTAGTGATCATGTGCTTGCAAAAGCTGCGAAGATATGAAGGAGGTATCTTACAGCCATCGTATCGTTGCTGGTATTGTGACGGGTCACTTGGGACATTTTGAGGCTGCTGTTGCTGTTGCTGGCCGCCGAACATCTGGTCGAAGAAGCCAAACTGGGCCTGGGCCGAGCTGATCAAGGTCAGGAGGACCAGCGGGAGGGAGGCGAAGAAGCGCATCTCGTCGGTTTTTTTGGTATCAGGCGAATATGAGAAAATTTCGAGAAGATTTCCCTTGCTTTAACCTTGTTGCGCCTGTCGTAGTGTTTGCTCCAGGTGTTCGTCGTCTTGCTCAATGTGGCCCTCTACTAAGGTACTGTAGGTACCTGATGCGCCAATGCGCCTACGGATAGCTGTCCAAAAGACCACCTTGGACCCACCCCCAAAATCCTTATCGCTATCGCGGACCGCTGACTCAGCCGGAAAAATACTCTCAGCCCATCTCCCGTCCCTTGATGCACGCAAAGCTTCAATTGGCGAGAAGGCAATACCGACTTGAGTTGCCATTTACGACATATGGGCAACTCGTCCACGAAGCACACCTGATGCGTCTATTCCAATTGCAGCGGCCCTTGATGGCCGCTGCCGCCGGTCTGCTGCGGGCGACCGCACCGATCCAGTCCACGACCTCGACCGCCGCGCAGCTGCTCCGCGCCGATGCCGCCAACGCCCTCGTGGCCGGACGAAGATACGCCTCCGTCAAGTCGCAGGGTGCCTACAAGCTTGCCCCCAAGAGGACGATACCGAAGAAGCTGGGAGCGAAGCGCACTGGTGGTACGTTTGTTCCATCTCCCTCATATGTCTCGAATTGGATGCAGTGGAGAACTCCATATTCATCACCAGAACGGATGGTCAAGAGCTCGATACTAACAGCTTGCAGACCAGTATGTCATCCCCGGCAACATCATCTACAAGCAGCGCGGCTCCCTCTGGTGGCCCGGCGAGAACTGCATCATGGGCCGCGACCATACGATCCACGCCATGGCCACGGGCTACGTCAAATACTACCGCGATCCCGCGCGCCACCCGGACCGGAAATACATTGGCGTCGTCTTCAACAAGGACGACGTTCTCCCCTACCCGACGCACGCCGAACGCAAGCGCAAGCTGAACATGTCGGCGCACACCATCGCCAAGCCTGTCGAGACGCCCGCCATCTCGGCCTCTGGCATCCCCACGCAGGTTGTGCGGCCCGCGCCCCGGACGGCCAAGGGCGCGCCCACACAGCCGGCCAGAATCCTGAAGCTGCGGGACGACTACTCGTACCGCGAGGACAACTGGCGCATCGGACGCCTCGTCAAGATGAACATTGGCGGCATGAGCCGCAAAGCCAAGCTGAGGCAGAAGAGATACGCCAAGGAGCGTAACTTGTCGGGACAGAGGGCAGCGCAGGCCAAGTTTGCCGAGATGGAGGTGGACGAGTGGACGATTGCGGCGTCCAAGAGGCTGTCGGAGCAGAAGAACGCCGCCGTGTTGGCCAAGCAGAAGAAGCAGAAGCAGAAGGCGCAGAAGGTGGCGGCCAAGGCCGCCAAGGCGCAGAAGAAGCGGTAATCGATCAACTATGTCTTGCTTGCTTGGGGGCATGGGTGGAATATACGTGTGAGAGTAGGCGAATTGGGATGATTTGTGTCATGGCTACCGAGGCGTAAATGTCATGGGGGTCATCTTGAGTGTAGAATATCTTGTACAAATCCATACTAGCATCCACGATTTGGTGTCATCCTCTCTGACTTTGCCTGCGATTATAGTGCTGCTAGGATTCACGGTTTCCTGTCAACTCTAGCTAATACCTTCGACATGGAGAGATTGAGAAATTCGAAACTTCGACAACTCGAGTTGCCTTACCTTGAATGCAGGTCTGCTTGGTTGCAAAAGGGGCTCTTTGGGGCGGCCGTTGGCACTTGCTTTTTTAATGACTTCCCGTCGAGGTCGCGTGTGGGGGAGGCACTCACCGAATTGCAATGTACTGAACCACCAATTTTGGGGGAAGGAGTACCTGAACCTACGACCTGCGCCCCCAGCAGTCGCGTGTCCCGTCGCGTCTCATTCAACGTCCGTCTTTCAACCTTCATTCAACCTTCTCTTCACTCTCTCATTGCTATTCACGATCAGACGTCTAGACGCCTGCCAGGATTTAATTTTCATTTGCCATAATACTTGATTTTTACACATATCTTACACACCCATTTGACTCCCTTCATTCGATGCGAAGCAGTTGAAAGTTATAGGATTCGGACTCGACCCCCGCAGCAGCAGCAGCATCTCCAATCTGGAAGTGCGCGTGCAGCTGCATGAGGTGGGCAGCAACCTCATCTCTCAAGTCAAAGGAATAGAACAATGGCATCCAACGCTCAGGCCGCACAACCATCTGGGCTCTCACATTCATTTAAGCACACCTCGTCACTGGCCAATACCACCTCGACAACCCAGGCAAACAATGCCACCCGCACGGTGTCGCCTTCTTCAGCCTCCGGCGGCGGGGACACTTCAGGCAGGAAGATGAAGAGGACCGGAGCATCGAAACCGCTCATGAGACCGAGTCTTTATGGAGGACAGGCACCACCTTGGGCGACTTCCTTACTGGGCGGAAAGTCATTTACGGCGCCTGCTCCATCACCTTCTACCCCAGCTCAAGCTCAGGCTCAGGCTCAAGCTGAAAGCAAGATCAACACACCAGAGCTGGAATCTGCTCAACGGAAATCGGGCACTGAAGATTCTGACGACAGTGGCAGCACGAGTTCAGGCAGCCCGGAACCAGCTCGCATTGTGAGCGACATCGCTCAGCCCGACCCTGAAGATCCATTAGCAGTAAAACTCGAAGCGGTACTTTCGGAAGGTGGTTCAGACTCGGACATGGCGCGTGAGAAGAAGAGTCTTGCGCAGCATGCCAAGATCCAGGCTCTGCAAGATTCGTGGGCCTCTAGTAACGCATCTGGAGTTCAATCGGGTTCTGCTGGACAGTTGGCGAACGGAAAGGATTGGCTTGGTGGTGAGTTGACTTGCTCCTTCCAGCTCTTGCCAGATTAGGTCCCACAAGCATACTCGTTTGAGTGTCATTCTTGACGGCGCTTCACGGAGGAAGTCATTAGAGATTGCCACTTGCTGACACAGATACAGGATCTGCATTCGAAGCGTCGTCTAAGAGAAAGCATTCTCTGAATGAGAATCTGGCTGGGGGTGATGCTAAGCGGCAGGCAAAGGATGCCAGCCTTCCTGGCGCATCGACTAGGAAATCGCCTGAAGAAAGAACAAATTCAACTGCCACGGAGCAAGACTTACTAAACGTCCTCGGGCTTGGACAACCCGGTTCCAGGCTAGATATCCTGAAAAGCACCGAACACGCCTTATCGCCGGCAGGGGCAACGCATCAAGCTCAAGTCATAGAATCCTCAGACGAGGATATGGACTACGAGGATCAAGCAGATGCTGATGACATGACGGACGAAGACGAGGACGAAGACAGAGAGACTGAAGGAGACCTGGAGATCGACACTACAGGCACGCCATCTGCAAAAGCCGCCCTCGTAAGAGAAGTGTCTTCTAACCTAAAAGACTGTAACTGACAGGGATACAGCCGCCATCTCAAGCCACTGATCAAGAGTTCACATTTACGAAAAACCCGCATCCTCGCGGGTATCTGCAATGGAGAACGCCCCAGGGCATAGAATCCACCTGCGGCGCCATCATACCTACGAATTACAAATTTCACTCTGACCCAAAAAACCCCTATATCTGTCCAGTCCGCAATTGTCGCGTCATTTTTCCAAAATGGAACGGGCTTGGAGCGCACTTTTGCGTAAGTCTTCTCTTCGATTGATCCCAGAGTCCTGTGACATTGACAGCATACAGGCAAAGCATCGTAGCTCCAAGTTCAACGACAATCTCGACGGGACCCTGTCATTCGTGGACTACTATAAGAGGGTAGGCACCAAGTACGCGGCCCCCATCGTGGTCTCGCAGAATCCCCTCCGGAGCGACGAGCCCCCCTTGGCGGAGCCAGTGACTGCAGGCTATAAGCCGGTGTCGGCCCCAGCCACTGCTTCGAACCCTGTTCCGTGGGGCCCGACTCCGAAGCCTATGAATCCAGCCCCGTCCCGGGCCATCCCCAAGTCATACTTGAAGAACGATATGACGATTATCAAGCCACCTTCAGTGGCGCCGTCTCCGAGCCAAAGCGTTTCTGCCTCGGATGGTTCGCTCATTGCGTACTTATCTGGCCATCTTTCGCCCGCTTACAAGATACCGGTAGAAAGGCCGGACGTGAAGGCGCTTCTGAAACTCCCCCAACGGCGCCCATTACCTCAGACGTGGAAGTTGAAGTACACTGGCATCGGACACCTGGCACCTCTCGCAACGGTTGCACTTCTAATATTTCTTACTGGTGATATTGCGACGCCATGTTGCCACGTGTGCTACAAGCACAATGATCCCTTTGAGAACTTTCTGCAGCCATGCGTCGTCATGTCTGCCGCGGCTCCTGGGTTCTTAAAGGAGATTGGAAATAAGGCCTGCTCTGGATGTCAGTGGCGGTCTAACTTCCGCAGAGAAAGGAACAATTGCTCCTTCTTGTCCTCAGGCCAGGGAGCATCAAGCCCACAAGTGACCGCGATAGCACCCCCTACACGATCTACGGTCGCAACCCGCTCCGCATCTGCGACAACGGCTGCTGACGCTTATGCCCTGCCATATCCTCCAGCATCTCAACCACCTCCCAAAACATCAACTCCGGTGTCTACCTCTTCCCTGCCGCCATCCACGCAACCGGCGCCGAGCGTCCACAAAGTCGATAGCCACCCACCTCCAAGCCCGCCGAGACGCACTACGAGGCACTCAGCGGCCATCGCAAAGCCTCCTGCCGATTCTAGAATATCGACGCCCGTCGGACATGCCTCGTCGCTCAGCGGCAATGCCATGCCACCAAATACCCTGGAAATGGAAGATTGGGAAGTTGCTCCAGGGCGGATTCGTGATGAACGCAGCGAATCCCCGACAAGTACGTCTTCAATCGTCCATATGATGCTATACTGCGATGCTAATCCTGTCCTAGATGTAGCCTTCTCCAACTCCTATCTCACGAGCAATCAAGCTGTGACGGTCTCTGAGGAGATATCCTTCAACGTCATCGTCATCAAGCCCGGAGAGTCGCATGAATGGGCCGCCGAATCAGAGAAAGTCCGAATCTGCTCCCTGGCTGCGGGTAAACTTAAGGTGAAACTCGAGAACACGGAGCCGTTCTCGATGGGCCCGAACGGTATGTTCAAGATGAAGCCCGGTACAGCGTGCACTGTTTTGAACCGGCTATATATCGACGCGGTGGTGCATGTCACCACTGTTTCGTCCTTTTAGAGCGGATACTTCTTAAGGTTTGAGCGTGGATTAGGAGGCGTTAGGAGTCATAGAGGCCGGTATACCGTGCCCAGTCTTTAGATGACGATACGGTTGAGGCCTGATGCATCGCAAGCCAATTGCTTGGGGTCTTCTTGCTGAGCTTTAGCAGGTAGCTTCCCATCATTAAACGAATTGCAATACTTTTTTGAGGCCTTGACGACCTTTTCGTACTAGCATTATCAAGACGGATCTATCTTTTTTCCGTGTTATCCTTTTGGCGGTTCTTTAGTGTGCCGCACTACACCTTGACCACCTTTTCACCATGACCTTTCTCATGGTCCACCGCCTCGCCACCTTGGGGCATGTCGATAGCCTCGATGACCTGCCCCTCGCCTTCCAGCTCTTCGGGCCTGACATAGTCCTTCGGCTCAATCCATCCCGCTTCCATGATCGGAGGTGGCCAAATCTTGCAGGAAACCCAAAAGGTGAAGCCGGATAGGAACAGTCCGACCCAATACGCAAAGAAGTAGAACCTCGTGACGCCGACGGGGGCTGAAACACCCATGTTGTTGAGAAAGCCGTAAAAGTTGGGGATGATGCCAACAATGTAGGCGACGTAGGCACGGATGTTCCAGCCGTGGGAGTAGTGGTAGGCCCCTGACTTCATTGACGTGAAGCAATCTGGTATGCTGATGCGACCGCGGCCGATGATGTAGTAGTTTACCAGCAAGACGCCCGTGATGGCCGAGAGGAAAATTTGGTAAGAGGAGAGGAAGGACACGAAGACGGAGGCAGAGCCCTAGCGCTTGTCAGCAATGGTCCTCACACTCGAGCAGGTTGAAGTAGGACTTACCAGCAGGAACCAAGGGTTGATGGCGAACGAAATGACGGCACAGACAAAGAAGCCCCTTCGAACTGTGAGGTACTTGGGAAACAACGCCGCAATGTCGTTACCGGCCGGCAAAGAGTTCTCAAAGATGGAGCTGAAGATGCAGCAGTATGCGAAGCACCCGGCGATGAAAAAGCACCCGGCTCGGTTGGCTGCCGTGTACTCGGCCGTCTGGAGGTTATCCAGCAGCGTCACGGGGTTCCAGATCAGCTCGCCAAAGATCAACTCGCTAGAGGCGCAGACGAGGTTTCCCACCGCTGCCACGATGAAGTTGGCAACAGGGAAACAGAAGAGGTTGCCGACAATAACATCGTTCTTCTTCTTTGCATACCGCTGGAAGTCCGCGGCGTTACTCGCAAAGGTGGCGCAGTTGGCCGCGCCGAGCATCAGGAATTGGACGATCAGCCACGCCCTCTTTGATCCCGTCGCCGTACCGCCCTGGCGTACTACAGGACCGAGGCCGCCTGCCTTTGTCGCTGTCCACGCAAGCATGGCCACGGCGGATATGATGAAGACGCACAGCTTCGCGTAGACGAGCCCGCGCATCTTGGGGACAGGGATGACGAGGAACGCGCAGGTGATGAGCCAGAAGATGACGAAGCCAATCATCCCCGCTGTCGTGAGCGCGGAGCCCTCGCCCATGGTGTTTGGGATGTTTGCGATACCCGGGATGATGGCGTGGAGCATCACGTAGATGCACTGTCCCCCTTGCACGGCATTAACACCGTTCCAGACGATAGCCATGACGGCGCGGTTAAAGGTTGGCCACCACGCGCCGTAGATGCCAAAGGCAGCACGGCAGACGACGGGGTATCCCACATGATAGCAGCTGCCCGGCCGGCCGTTGAGGGTGATGATGGCGGCGATGAGGCATTGTCCGCCGAAAGCGCAGGCGAGGGACTCCCACATGGAGAGGCCGAGGGCCTGGGCGGTGGAGGAGGCGTACCAGTTGGACACGGTCGCGGTGGCGGAGAACCAGAAGGTGAAGTAGGTCCATTGGCTCCAGGTGCGGTCGGCGAGCTTGAGAGGGCGAAGGTCGTCGTTATTGAGGAGGGCGTCGCGGCCGTGGATGTCCGAGGTACCGGGGGCGGCGGGAACGCGGAGGCGGTTGAGGAGGCCCATCTTGTGTGGACGGTGCCCGTTGCAACACTCTTGATCCCGGAGACGGGAAGTGAGAAGTCGGTTTGAGACACTCGACTTTGGATACTCAACTGTGAAGAACACGGTTGAAAAGCAACGCCCACTTCCCCGTACAAGTTGCGTGGACAGCAAACGGGAGACACCCGTAAGAGCTCAATGTTACCATGGCAGAGACTTATACCAGATCACACTCGACAGAATGGTAATCGCATCGGCACGGAGTCGCAATCGGCTACTGCATGCTGATAGCCCATGGACACTCTTCAAGATATCGGCGTCGTGCGGTTCATGTGGGGGAGATAAGCACTGCAGGGATGCTGACGAGTCTCGATGGCCGACATCGTGCAACCTCTCACAGCAAAGAAATGTGCACTGCTGTACGGAGTCTCGCCAGTGTATGGGGTGGATATAGTCCTAGTTGAAGATGTTCTACTATTAAAAGAATAACGGCGAAGTGAACTCAAGCTTCACCAAGACCTCTCAGTCGATGCCAAGTATCTTGGTAGATCGGCATCATATAAGTATTAGAGTCGACCGGAGAAAGCAGAAGCCCCCCGGGAGACAAACACCCCTGGTGGCTCCGAAGACGGGGATCAACCCCGTACCCCACACGGTCCGTTGTCGGCGCATTTGTCCCGAGAGCGATAAGCGGCCGTGCTGGGCGGATTTGCAGATCGTCTCCAGCGAACCGCGTCGCACGCCATTATCTTTGGCTATCGTGCCATTCGCCGTCGTTGAAATCTCAGACGATTTCCGGCTAAGACCGGCGGACAACATTTCAACGACCCGGCAGGGACTGATCCATTCCATTTGAGCACGTTATTCATCCGGAGGCTTTAGTCGGAGTTGAGAGATCTAATCCGTGTGCGGTGAAACCTATCGCAAGTGTTGATCTCAAAAAGGAGCCAAATTTTGCGTAATTCAAAAGGAGATCATTTGCCTTTACTCTAGAGCTTGCCAACCACGATTTTGCTCGGCATAGATCAAGAACAAGGTAGCTCAACTCAATAACCCGACGACTTGACCAATCTCACATTCACAATCCGCAACCATGACTACCACGGTGACTGAGACCGCCCCAGAGAGCTACAAGCTCGAGCTCATGTCCGCATACGGCCCCGTCTACCGCGACGTCCTCAAAACCCCGCCCCGAGACTGCAACGCCTCCGAGGTCCCCGTCATCGACCTCTCCACCATACACGGCACCGAGGCCGAGCGCAAAGCCCTCGCCGCCACCATCCGTGACGCGTCCGAAAACACGGGCTTCTTCTACATTAAGAATCACGGCATTCCCAAGGCCACCATCGACGCGGCCTGCTCGCAGGCGCAGGCCTTTTTCTCGCAGCCAAATGAGAAGAAGGCGCTGGCGACGCAAAAGAAGAGCAAATTCTTCAACGGGTGGACGGAGAAGCGCGCTGCGCAGATCTCGCCGACGGAGACAAAGGATCATCGTGAGGGGTTCAGTTTTCGGTATGATCCGCGTTATGATCCCGAGACCAAGGATCCGGATGCCGTGCCGGAGGAGGTGAAGCCGTGGATGAAGCATGAGGACTTTGTGTGGGAGGGGACGAGCCATTTGCCCGGGTTCAAGGACGATATGATTACCTACTGGCAGGGCTGTTTGACACTGGCGAGGAGCTTGATCAGGGCTTTCGCGTTGGCGTTGGATGTTCCCGAGAACTATTTTGACGATGTCATTACATATCCCGGAAGGTACGTGATGATGTCTTTGACGGGGTCGTGAGCATAGACTGACAGCTCTACAGTGATAGCGTCTGCAACTATTACCCCAAGAACACTGAAGCGCAAGACGCCACGATCGATGTTGGCCTGGGCGCTCACACTGACCTGCAGTGCTTCACCCTTCTCTGGCAAGACAGCGTGGGCGGGTTGCAGGTACTCACAAAAGATGGGCAGTGGATCAAGGTGCCGCCAGTTCCCGGCACCTTTGTCATCAACATTGGCGACTTTTTGCAGCGATTGTCCAACGATAGATTTAAGTCAACGGTCCATCGGGTTTTCAACTACGCCCCCGAGGACCGGTATTCTATGCCCTTCTTCTTTGGGTTCAACCATAATGAACAGTGTTCTGTGCTTCCTACTTGCACGGATGAGAAGAATCCGCCAAAATATGAGCCGATAAGCTGTGGCGAGGTACGTTACAATGGCCCCCTTTGGTACAATGTTAGACTACTGAGTGGTGAGACTGACTTGATCACAGTGGTGTCGTTTGAGGTTTGAGAGAACGTATGAGTTCTCGAGGTCAAAAGACTCCAAATGATATTGTTGAAAAGGGGCATCTCAGTTGACGCACAACCTTATTGCATTTTACTAGAAATTACCTATACCAACTCTAACTCTTCGATTCTTTCCGACTTGAAACAGGATCCTACTAATTCGTCTGAGCAAGTGATCTTATTTCGCAAAAATCTGCGCCTTCCTAGTTCAAGCAGTCCTACCCGGCTGTATTTGACCACGCCACCTTGGACAGACTTGATGGGCTTGATGTGAAGGTACATCCACGTAGTCTCTTCGCCTTCACCCGCTCTGAGGACTAGGGCAAACACGGCCTCAGCTTCCCAAATCGAAGGTGCAAGACTTGCCGCTCTGTTAGGAAAGTCGTGTAACACAGTAATCGGGAACGTTTCGTCTCTTGCTCTTTCGCTCAAGCCAGTGAAAACAGGACATCTCAAACCGACGGTGATGCCATCGTTGACACAAGTCAGTTCAGCGTAGTATATCGGTTTCTCCATGCTCCCCTCTCGAGGCATTCTGATCTGACTTCGGCAGCTCGCCCAGGACCACGAGGGCGTTTCCTTGGCCTTCGAGTTTTTGGGGATAGGTTCACTAGAGGGATTCTCCGTATGCCATAGCAAGTCCAAGGGAAGTGACTTTCTCCATATTCCGGCCATGTAATCCTTCATTTCTTGCCCAGTCCGGCGGCTATATTGAATTGCGAGACCCATTATCGCAGGCAGCCTGTCTGACTCTTGAGTTAGGTCTAGGGTCGTATATCTCTCAACTAGCCGGCGCCACCAGTTGCGGAGGTTCCGTGCCGCATGTTCGCCCTTGTCGTCTAATGAAGCATAGTACGCCATCTTGAGCGGCATCGGCAGAAGTGTATAGTTCGGGTCCTCTACCCGCTTAGAGTCGTGGAACCGATAGGATCTTTGGTTAACCTGACTCATGTTGCCTTCCTCTCCCTCAAGGTTTAACCGGCCTGTCATGCCAGAGAGTCTGCCGCATTCGCATTGGGAGCCTTCGTAGCACTCCCACATGACTTCGTTTGGGGCGAAGACGACGAACCTACGAGAAAGTAGTCTTTCTTGCATCACCCATCCTCTCGTCATGAGATCCAATCTGCTAGGCGTACGAAGACTCTTCTGCTGCATGACATGTTCCCTCCCGGCCATCTCATACTCATTCTCATGATCCGGTAGGCTTTTTCGCAACATCAGTCTCGGATTTTGGCGTTGGGGATTGGTAACATCGAATCCCTTGTAGACGCGTTCAGCTTCAGAAAAGCAGCCATCAGGCCCGGCCGCTGCTGCAACAGTAAGGAGTGCTCCCTCATAGACAGAACACATCAACTTTGATTCTGCGTCCCAGTCTGCAGCGCTATCCTGGATAATACACAGGCTGTCGATCCAGACGTATCGAATGGGTTCTTCTTCCGGGTGGTCTATCGCATACCATGAGGCAAAGTCTTTGATGAATATGATGGCGTCCTGGAAGTTCCGGGTAAGAGCAGACCAGGGAACATTCTTCTTCAGCGATTCGATGTTGGTGCTCACACATCGCGGCATCCTGGAAGCTTCTATCCATCGATGGCTGAGCGCGATGTAGTGGCTTCTTGTGGTGACATGTTCAACCAATCGCATATTGTCCTTGTCTGAAATATCAATCAGACGAGTTGGCATCGGGTGTATGTTGAGTCCACTGCCACAGTCCGGATGCTGTGCGACACATTCCTCGAACCAAGTAAAGATCTTTTTGAAAGCATCTGGAGACCCCGTGTGACCTACGATGGGTGGAGACTCATAGGCATGGGCTACATACACCGGCAGCGGGTTGTAAGCGTTGGGATCAAGGACTGAGATCATGTATCGTAGACAGGACTGCATGTAACCCTGGGCCGGTGGTAGCGTTGTTTTAAGCAGTTGCAATTTCGATAGTATATAACCGCCTCTTGGCCCTCCTTTCCTTGCGGTGAGAACAATGTTCGTGCCGTCAACGTCTGCGTCGATGTAGAACAGGGCATCTCGCATGTCATCCGAATCTACGTCGTCGAGGATATGACTGAAGAATGAGATTGCGAAGCGGGCTATCCAGCAGCCGTGACAACGGTTCTGGTACTCTGGTTGTAGTAAGCGGCGATCGGGTTTGAATTTAGGGTCCAGTCCGGTTCGGGGGTCCGGGCCGGGTGGCATGTCAGTGGAGAAGAAGGACAGGCATATCGGGCATTCTTCCGTCTTGTAGATCCAACCAGGCAGAAGCCGCTGCCTCAGTGATGACATGGTGCAGCAGTTACAAGATGCTTAGCCAGGAGGAATAACTGACAACTTGGAACTCGGGTATGGATAGGATTGCCTGATGTGGGCTGAAAGAAAACACTCCGAAAATCAACGCAAGTCGGTTATCAGGGGCCTGATTTCAAAGAATGACTGCTGAACGTCAGCAATTTTTAGAATCAATACCCCGCTCGCAGACTCTATGGCTCGATGCCTGCATTACATCTGCAGAAGAGGGTGGTATCACGTGGGGCTGTGACATTGGCATTGCAGTAGTGCTGATTGGCAATCTATCCGTCTAACAGCCGGCCCATAGATGAAAAATCAAAGAGGAAACGGCATAGAGACTTGGCGTTTTGCGAGCGAGTGAGTTGCTGTGAAGTTGTCTCTTGTCTTAGCTTGCGGTAACTGAATCCTGATGGCTATATTGGTAATTGACTCGATACCATACATTAGTAAGTGAAGAACCGCTAAGGAGGGAATGCAATCTGTGCATTCTTCAAGCGATACTGAATGCCCATTCCATCTCCCTTCCAATTGATTCATCAGTCATCATGGATCAAGGTATCATCAGCTCCTCCCGCTCGTAAGTCGTTTGTCTGACTCCAGCTCCCTGCCACGAGCCGATTCGGGCAGGTAGACTGTGGACCAACTGCATAACTCAGCTAGAAGTCGAAGCTCTGTCCGAATGGAGTGCTTGGCCATGACCAACCACTGACGGTTTTCTCTCATCCCGGCACCTGTCCTCGACGCGATCATTATTATTTTTGTTCGTGCCGTGGCAGCCTGCGTTCATCGCCTTCCAGTTTGCGGTTGCTCGTATGCAATTCAACCTTGAATTTTAAGGTGGAGCAATAGTTGATATGCTTGATTGGTGGGAGTCGAGAGCAAATGGCACTCTACCGCAGATGTGTTTGCGGTTTGGGGGCTGGTGTACTGCAGGTTGTACTTGGCGACAACGGGAGGACCCGTTTGCAGTGCTTCATTAAGTATTTCCACAACAGTCCAACACCCGGTCATGGGTTTTCAACAAGGACTCGCTGTCATAAAAAGGATTGAATAGTTGCCCTGGCACCGTCTTGAGCGTTGCAACTTGAAACTTTGCCCCCAATTCGTCGTGCCCAAATTCATCATGTCTAGCCAAAGATACAGCCATTTCTCAGAAAGCGGGCTAGACTCTGGCCCCGAAGAGGTACCTCGTGGCCGACTCTCGAGGCCAGTGTCTGCAGAAGTTTTTCCACAATTCATCTCGAGAGAGAGGCAAAGGTCAACTGAACTTCACCAAGGGCATGGTATGCGCGCTATAAAAGTTGACCAGACTGAGTTGCAGCTCACAAATTAACAGGAACCCCCTTGTCGGGCGATGGCTTCGGCAGCGCTATGCGCCCAGCCATGGCTAGAAGAGAACATTTCCAGCCCAGACGCTCCCTTAACAATGTTGAGGGGAATCCTCTGATTACAGGACTTCCAGACGATCAGACCTCCACAGAAAGGTCAAAGTCTGGCACACCTGCTGTGAACGTATCAATCAACAGAAAGCCAGTAGCCACATCTACGTTCGAGACCATCGATAGTCGAGGCTATCAAAGTCTGAAACGGGGCTATTCGAGTGACGAGCCACCTAGAACATCAGAGTGTGAACCTTTCACAGTTAAGCCGCTTTGGCGTATATGGGCTTGGGAGGTGTTCTACATATTTCTCAGCATATCCTCCTTCTTTTGTACGTTTCCAAAGTTTTATTCTATGAGAATGCCGTCGGAGATTTCGTACTAATGTTTCTGACTTCAGTGATTGTTGCAGTCCTCTGCAGCTATGACCAACAACCTTTGCCAGACTGGCCGCTGCATATCACGCTCAACACCTTCCTTGCCTTCTTTACAACATTGGCAAAAGCTGCTTTCATGCTTCCTGTGTCTGTCGCAATAAGTCAGACGCAATGGTCATGGTTCCTCAAAGACCGACCTCTTTATGACCTGCAATTGTTTGACCAAGCGAGCAGAGGGCCGTGGGGCTCCGTAATGCTGTTGAAACGTATCCGATATAAACACTTCGTTTCTCTCGGTGCCTTTTTGATGGTTGTCAGCGCCCTAACCTCACCCGTAACGCAACTCGCCATTAAGTATCCTGTCCGAGACTCTGTGGCCCTGCGCGAGGAAGCCAAGGCTGCGGCTGTACGCAACATGACGTCGGACGAAGACCGCATGAACTTAGGAGCACGCCGAGCTTTAGTGCTAGCCACTTTATCCGACAGCACCAATTTCATGGAGCCCATTGCACCCACAGGCGCGTTCTGCTCTACAGGTAATTGCACCTTTGATCGGTATCAGTCTCTGGGCATTTGCATGAAGACGGCGAACATCACTGAACACTTGAAAGTGGAGGAGTTCGACTCGCCAGATGTGATCGACACCCTTGTGTTGGGTTTTCCAAAGCCTGATGCAAAGGTGTGGCGAGCATCTCTCCCTAGCGGTTTGGAAATGGCTCATCAAACACCATTGGCGGTCATGACTGACATGCTCAACGGGAGTGAGACCTTTGCTTTCCAAGACGACGAGGATCTCAAGCAAACTAGGATATCGTCTTTTACCGTCATCTACACCAATCCGACAGAGCTGAACGAGACGTGGTATAACGAGCTCTCTGAAGCCGCCGGAGCGCCGTTTACGTCCGACCTCATCGGCGCAATCTACAACTTTCGACATGAAGCAATGGAGGTCATGTATCATCTATGCGTTCAAACGTTCGAGACAAAGGTTTCTATGGGTATCGAAAGAACTACTCTTGTCGAGACGTCTGCTGTACCTGTTGAACAAGAGAAGCCCTTTTTCCTGGACATGCGGTGCCGGCCACTCCTTGGAGAAGCCTCGCGAACGTGCAACCAGAGCATCGACCATTGGCACGAAACATTGCATCTGAAGGATCCGAGGTTTTTGACAAAGCTTGACGTTGATTCGACACTCGAGGAGGAACATTACAGTGCAAGCTATTTCTCTCTAGAGAAGATATCCACCATTCTAAAGACCGATATCGTGGGCTATGCGAGTGCTAGCTACGTCACCGAAGAGTATCAGGATACGGCTGTGTTCTTCCGGGGACAAGAGTTTCTCAAGACTCTTTTTCAAAGTGTCGTATACGACCTGAAAAATATCGCCAACTCTACTCTACGACAAATCGCCTTGGACAATATACATGCAAATGTTGCCACTAGTGTATCAACAATGTAAGTCCACTCATTAGCCCCTTGTTGCACTGCTATAGAAGCTTGGACTTCTCTGAACTTTGCCACCAGCATGCGAGTCAATCAACCGCAAAGTTACGCCTTCAACTCTTTCAACATTTCTGGCAAAGCATTGACGCAGGTCTCATACGTACACATAACCTGGGGATGGATATCTATGCTTGCGGTCGAGATCGTGATTGCTCTGCTATTTCTTGCCCTTACAATCGTCAGCCAGATCAAACTGAATGGTGGCCAGGCATCGAGCAGAGAAGAACGTAATGCATTCCAGGAAGCCAAGAACTCGTCTTTGGCCATGCTAGTCGTCCTAGACGAAGACTCTCGTGCTAGAGCAGGCGGTGGACTCCGGCCTTTGGATGAACTCCAAAGCGCTTCCAAGGCTCTAAAGGTTCGATTCGAGGGTCGCCAGATGGTTCCGGCTGACGAGACGATTATCAAAACATCGGAAGTTGGTGGTCGTGTCATTTAGTGTATCCAACGAAAATTTGAGGTCTGTTTCCAGATGATGTACATGTAGCATTTTGCATGGAAGTTACTAGCACCTTAAATGGAAAGTCATTGGCTCATGGCCTACCATAACCCCATTGTCCGCGTGCCTCCAAAATTTTCGTGTAATATTATCAACACCCGAAGTGATGCCTAAGGAAGCAGCACATCGCATCAATATACATCTTGAAATATCGTAGCTCATGTATCATGTTCTTACTGGTACGTCAGCTTCATCTGTCCTTGAAGCCTAGGCTGCGATCGAGCTGAATCAGTACTCACTAGCAAGGATTTCTTCCCGCTTGAGCTTCAGATCATCATATTCCAGTTGCGACTCTGCTTCATGATCATCAGGATGTTCAAGATGGATCCAATCGTTGCCGAATGTTCGAAGACAAGCAACGGTGATCCACAAGTCCTCCATGCTGGCGTGACCGGTGCCGCAACCAGCATCCAGCAAGCATTGAGTGATATAGCCTTCCGGAAGCTTACTAGGCGCATCGAGAAAACATGGTCGCAATATCTCTTTGTCACCGCAATGAGTTTCAGCGATGATGGCGTCGCCCATTCGATGTAGGCATTTGGCACGGGGTATCCAAGGCGTAGCGTCCGATGGAAGCGGTGGCGGAGTTGCGGTTGGATTCGGTTGGTCGAAGCCAACTGTCAACAGGAAAGTTGGCAGTGCGAGAGGAGTAGGAGCATATTCTTAAGTAAATAGGGATTGGTCGATACTTCTTATGCTGCTATTGGATGCTAGCTGAGGTTCCCAGCGATGATGATGGCGCCGCTGGCTTTTGTTTGAAGTTTTGGAATCTTCCAACTCGTACCACTTTCCATGGAATTCTCCAAGCATCCAATGGATTTCAGCAATGCAGTGGAGCTTTGCTAGGCCATATGAGGCAGCTATAATCACAAGTGCTGACATGCGCCCATTTTGTCTGACGCCCCTGTTTGGATGCCTGACTATGTTCATACCGTCAAGTCATTCTGTAAGGTGTAGTTGCAATTGACATTTAAGCATAAAATAAATCCGACTACTGAACGGTTTTAGTGCTCCTGAAATGGTCCAAAAGTCTCAAGCAGTTGAATGGCGTGTTGAGTATTCGGGCTAACGGCTATAGAGTGAATGTTGGTTAGCAAACATTGCTCCATTTCTTTCCCCTTTCGATCTCGAAGCAGATAGTCAGGGGAAGAAAATAATAATCTAGATAAAAATCGAAGATGAGAATGACCATCTTGAAGGGAATCAGCTTATAGACGGCCATGTCTTCTTGTTCATTTGTCTTGAAGTGGTAACTAATATTCATCAGCTAGACACCACTGACTGATCGCTCTCCTGCTGATATGTTTGGAATTACCCAGAAGTCATACACTCTCCCTCCTTCTCCTGATATTCATTAAATAGTGCATCAAAGCTTGTTGAAAACAACACAATCTTCTACGTCATGGGCGATTAAATCGTCTTACCATCAAAGGTCAATTCATGGGGCCTAAACATTGTGTTAGTCTGTTAGACTCGAGAAAAGTGGGTCTCATCAAGCACGGTGTGAGGGGCAAGATTATCTTTTGCGCACAGTACGTCTATCTCAGTGAAAATTCTGGTCTCCAATTACCAGACAGCAAGACCTTCCGAGGCCAATAGAATCGTTGGCGTAACAAAAGAAACATCGCGATACATCAGCCACGCTCTTCTTCTTATAACACAAATTCCATCTACTTGCACCGTTGGCTTCGTACTTCTAATCGGTTGGCGTCATGACTGCAGGCGGTGATTTTCAGACGACATCGCAAAGGTTTTTGTCGTGGTTCAAGTCTTTGCCGGGCGCCACTTTCCACGATGACATTCAGATCGTCGACTTGAGAGGCCAAAACGCCGGACGAGGAATTGGTAGGTCATTTTGCCCTATTTTCGTAACGCTGTTGACTAACAAACTCCCAGTGGCCACAAAGGACATCGCACCTGAGACGGTTCTCTTCACCATCCCGAGAAAAAGCATCATCAATGTCGAGACGTCTAAGCTCCCCCAGAAGATTCCTCAAGTCTTTACCGGCAACGATGGAGACGACGAGGACATGGAGAATGAGCCCCTCGATTCGTGGGGCTCTCTTATCCTCGTCATGATCTATGAGTACCTCCAGGGCGATGCTTCACCCTGGAAGCCTTATTTTGAGGTCCTCCCTGAGAAGTTTGACACACTCATGTTCTGGGAGAGTCCTGAGCTCGAATATCTCAAAGGAAGCGCTGTTTTATCAAAGATTGGAAAGGAGGAAGCCGATGATATGTTCCGTTCGCGAATCCTGTCGGTCATCGCAGCCAACCCAGCCGTCTTCTACCCTGCAGGTGCCTCTCAATTGGCCGAAGCAGAGCTTCTGCAATTGGCTCACCGTATGGGCAGCATCATCATGGCTTACGCCTTCGACTTGGAGAATGAAGAGGAGCCGGAAGAAGAGGAAGAGGAATGGGTTGAGGACCGCGAGGGCAAGTCAATGCTGGGTATGGTACCGATGGCTGATATTCTGAATGCTGATGCAGAGTTCAATGTGAGTAGGCCTTCATTCACATTTGTGACGTTTTACCGACGCTAATGACTTGGCAGGCCCATGTCAATCACGGTGACGATGACCTCAGCGTTACCGCCCTGCGAACAATTCGCGCAGGAGAGGAGATCCTGAACTACTACGGCCCTCACCCGAATTCTGAGTTGCTTAGAAGATATGGCTATGTCACTCCCAAGCATTCTCGTTACGATGTGGTCGAGATTCCGTGGGACCTGGTCCAGTCTGTGCTCAATGAACAGTTGAAGCTCACTGGCGAGGTCTGGAAGCAAGTGGTACGTGCGGAAGATGTTCAATCAGAGGGAAAATGAATCAAACTAACGAGAGTTCAGGGAGAATACATAGATCCTGAAGACCTCGAGGATGTATTTGTCCTTGAGCGTGAGTCAGGAGAGCCAGACTCGGAGGGGCGACTCACAATGCCCGCCAAGGTCCAAGAGGTTTCTGCCGAGCTTGAGGAGCAACTGAAGGGTATCCTGAAGCTTCTCAAGAAGATGAATGCTGATCTTATTCCCGACAAGCGTAAACGCGATGAGATTTACCAGCACGTTGTTGTGTCCACCCTGCAAAAGCTGCTGGCGGAGTACCCGACGACAGCCGAGGAAGATGAGGCTTTACTGGCATCGGGCAGCTTGACACCTCGACAGAAAATGGCTGTTGAGGTAAGACTTGGCGAGAAGCGCCTTCTGAAGGAGGCCCTTCAAGTGGTGGGTACCAGCGGTTCTGTGGAGGAAGCTGCTGGCGAGGAAGAGGCGGACAGAGCTTCCAAGAGGGTGCGACATTAGACTCTTTCCGCACGCACAGAACGAGTGGAGGAATGAAGCCAGGCGGGAAAGTATGCAGTTGCTCTGTGCTTAAGCGGCCGGGAATTGCCTGGCTGCCAAAATGTCAAATTCAACGTCACACAAACAGTTCCACTTACACCGCTTCATGATGTGTGCCTCCGGAAACGCAAGTTGTTGTCTCCTCTCCCTCTCTTATTCATTGACAGTGCGTTTCTCTCGACTCTGTGCCGCAATTCAAAGCCCATTTTGTCAAATAGTTCGGAAATCCTGGCCGTACCAAGCCACTGGCCACGCCGCCGCAGTCAGAGACATGCCCACCAACTGCGGCCCTCCCAACATGGCGTTGGTTCGCCATAATTTGCTGTTGGCCAGCAAAACCAGTTCGCTTCACTCCAAATAAACCCCCGCACTTGAGCTGACCGGTCCTTAGTTCGGCGGGGAATGTTTCCACCCGATAGGCCCTTCTGGATGCCCGATATCGACCGATTACAGTCGATGACGAAGGACTACGGATGGACGGGACACTCCAAGCCAGCCTGCCGCACACTGATTCATGAATACACGAGTATTCGGTAGGATCATGGAACAAATGTCGATGGCGCCTGCTTCAGAAAGGCCTATGAATCAAGAAGGACGAGGCATTGAAGGTTTTGTGCCACCTTTTCCTCTCAGCGAAGTGCTACGAGGAGGAGTCTCACCGAGATCACACAGACATGCCCATCCAATGTTGTTCCAATATCTCGTCCCGGGATGAATTCAAAAATCGCGATGTCAGAGAGACGTTTGATCTCGTCAAATACCAGAAGGACATAAAACAAATCATTTCGCACTTTATAGACAGTGGCGCCTAGCATAATTCTGATCTCGCTTCTCAAGTTCTCCCGACCACTATGTTCGACTACGAGATAGACGAGACTGACTGTTGTTTGGTGCGATTTCAAGGCCGTATGGCACTGCTTGATACCCAATCTTTCCTGCCGCCGCTACACGCTCCCCACCGCGCGTCAACCTTGCCTACTTCAAATCTTCGGCAATTTCGCAGAGATGCCACGTCGAGCCTTCGCAACAAATGGAATGTTTAACCGACCAAGCTTTCAAGGTTTCATTCGGTACAATAGGCAGCCGGTGGTTGTTGGGCTTCATGATCTGAGGGATACTTGGACGAATGACGCTACTCTCTATTGCAGTGACGGCGGAATCTGGCCCCTCGACTGTGGCCAGGTCATAGCCAGGGAAGGAGGTGTTATATTCCCTTCGACCAGGGATCCATGACCGAGGAAGAATCAGCCCATCAATACGGCCGTCGAGTCTACAGCCACAATCCGTCACGGCTGCCATCTCGATTCGGTCTCTGTCCGACCCTCTCCAGCGTCGACGACCGAGCCCGAGCTCCCGAAGCTGGGCCAAAGAAGTGAAATCGTCGACAACCTCATTGGCTCCAGATTCGTTCATCCCAATCGCACACATGGACCTGATTGGTTTAGCGTCATGCAAGTCATACAAACATCCACCTCATGGGTGACAACCTTACACGCTTGATCTAGTGTCGATGCCTGCACTCCTGCAATCACGTTCGACGATGTTAACGCCCACACTCAGGGTTGCAGGAAGACTTGGGCATCTTGGACTTGGATTTCAACCC